TGGATGTACTGCCAAATTCTCTGAAACGCCTTTGGAGATGGCTTATGGTAGAGAAATGAACATTAAATTAATGGGCAACAGCTCTGGTGGACATTCCTGCAGTCAGCATGCCAACTGCACGCTCCCTCAAAACTTGTGACATCTGTGGCATTGTGCTGTGTGATAAAACATTTTATAGTGGCCTTTTATTGTGGCCAGCCTAAGGCACACCTGTGCAATAATCATGCTGTCTAATCAGCATCTTGATATGCCACACCTGTGAGGTGGATGAATTATCTCGGCAAAGGAGAAGTGCTCACTAACACAGATTTAGACAGATTTGTGAACAATATTTGAGAGAAATAGGCCTTTTGTGTACAAAGAAAAAGTCTTAGATCTTTGAGTTCAGCTCGTGAAAAATAGGGGCAAAAACAAAAATGTTGCTTTTATAATTTTGTTCAGTGTAGTTTCGATGACCTATATGATGACCTTGGACGATGCTGATTTGAAACACAATTACGCAGGATAACATTACTGAGTATTGAACTTTATAAACAGCATATCAAATTCGATGGAGGTCACAGGTTTAGCCCAAAACCCTCCATCTCATCTTCAAAATCCTACTATTATATACTAGGCATTTTGTGAGCTACTAGATGAAAAGGAATGGGAATGAAATGAAAAGGAATTATGTACCATATTGGAGTCTATCGGAGTCTATGGTCAGTTCTTGTGCAGTTGTTACCTATTTCTATTCTATCGGATCCTTAGAAATAATTTTCATTGGTGTTGGCTAATGTATTCAGGTTTATTCAGTTATAAATTAAATTTTTGACTTGAATAAAAGCAGTTAATTTAGATGCTATCACACTATGCACATTTCTAGCTTATCTATCAAAACATGATTTAAAGTGCTGAATGCACCAGAAGGCTCATCAATTTTATCACAAGGAAAGTTTAAAATGATATAAAGAAGCCGTGTTTCTCTCTTCATAGTGTTTGCTTCCATTGTTGAAATGTATTATAAGATATATTCAACCTAGCAGGGTAGGATATAAAGGTGATTTAGCTTATAAGTAATTATCATCTTGTTATTATGCTCTGGAGAATGATATACGCACATTACTGTGCAGAGTAATTAATTTACAAAACTGCTTATTTATGCTCAGGTCCAGAGATCATTCAAGCGTTAGACCAGTGAGGCTCGGTCAGAGAAGTTGTGCAACTCCTGCAGCATGACAAGATAAACCCTCTTTACATGCTCTAAAATAGAGTACTTAGAGGAAACAATAATGCATCACAGTTGTTATGGAACTAAGAATTTTAATGACACTATGAGCCAATCCAGCCATGGAATGAAATTGCATTATTTTGTACCAAGTACTTATATAATATAATATAATATTATGTAAAGTAGTAAATATAAAGTAACATGTGTTGTTAAAAAATACAGTAAAATATATATTTTTTAATGTCAGCCATTTTTTTTAGATAATAATAATACAATTTCTCCTTTCTTTTCCCAGATCGCTCCCTCTTATATGAAATAGTTTGCAGCCAAGCAGGTTACCTCCTACTTCCTACTTGTTCCCTGTGTTGACCTTTGTATTTGTGTGTACAGTAGTATGGATATACAGTGTCATTGAAGATGAGCCAGGCAGAACATGGAAGTGGGAATGAGGAGTCTTTTCAGCTGACAGACAGCATGAGAGGTAAGATCATGTTTGTATTTCAAATATAATGACCCTGCAACCCCTTTGGCTGTGATTAGATTCAGAATAAGGTGCCTCGTTGTATTTTAAATGGTTGCAACCTGATAAAAATATTATGTGAAATAATGTTTTTTGAAAAACTAAATTTCACTTTGAAAATAGATCTTGATTAAATAGCTGTGCTGCATCTGACACAAAAACAACATGTTGAAAAAGAAGGGAATATTTACAGAGCAATATTTATATGTAATATTAAGCAAATGTGTCAATACCAGAGGTCAGAATGTCACCCTCTATCTATAACAGTTATCGCCCTGATGATAATCTGTAAATATAAAAAATTCAGAAAAACATGTAAACATCATGTAAAAAACTATTTCATACATGTGATGGTTATTGAAATGGGTTTTTGTGTTGCCCTGCATTGCATTCTATAGTCTCATGTCACGTATGAAGGGTGATATACAGGTTATCATGTGTTTACCTGTCCTAACTGATAACTACTGTCCTGCATGACATGCTAGTAGCTCTATAAAACACTTATACATAAACACATGAGTCCATAAGGAACAGGACAGACCAACATGTCAGCTGCTCTAGGAAACACCCCTATGTGGATAACGAAAGAGACCACCATCAACTCAAATTGAATGTTCAACTGATTGATTCAGAGCTGACTGATAACATTTGCTTCCTTCAGTAAAAAATAACTAGTCCTTTCACTGTTTATGTGCATTGGCCTTATATCGTCGGCCAAGTGAAAACTAGTTTACAGGATGTCCTAAATTATTATATTATTATTGTACTAAATTACTGTATACTGGGCTCGGAGAACATCACTGCTGACTAAGCAGTGTGGATTTCTGCATTTCCATTGATATAAAAATAGTCTGATGTATGCTGTATCTCTTTTTTAGATTGCAGATGATGCTTTGAACTTCTCTCCTGAGCTTCCAATAGAACTACAAAGGAAGAGCCGAACAGTTCGGCCTGCAGGTCCCTTGGATGGAGGCTATGGCTGGTTCATAGTGCTTTCCACCTTCCTTGTCTTTGGTCTGACATTCGGTGTAATCAAGTCCGTTGACGTGTTCTTCGTATAAATCCACCATTACTTCGCAACCACGGCGACTGCAAGCTCATGGATCACATCCATCTCTGTGGCAACAGTACATTTTGGGGGTATGTGCCATTTAAAGTTTTAACCAGCAGGGGGCTCTCTCTACTTACACCTTTGCCTTTTAATGTCATACATGGACATACACTGACTGAGATTGATTTGTTTGTGAATATCAAAATGAAAATGTGACTTGATAAAAACTCAGTCACACTTGACCATACAAGCTTGTTGTAAACTTTTAATATAAATTTGTGTTGTCTTATAAAATCTATTTTCTTATTCATAATATTAAAATATTAATATTACGATTTATTTAATATTTAAAAAAAATGTAAAGTATTATTTGCACTATAAGAATTATTTGCACTAATGATATTTTGGGCAATGTTTGCACACAATCTAAGCTGCAAACACTTAAGACAATAAAATGTCAGTAAGATGTCAGTTAGTAAAAACGCTTGATCGTCACTGTTGCCTGATCTTATTCATTATTAAGATGCATACTGATACATGATCATTGTAATCTTTTAATATCTGTTAGATACAAACTCATGTTCTAGTATATTTATTTTCTTATTTATTAATCAGTTTTTATTTAAAAAATATTATTAATTAAGTATTATTTGATAATATCCCCTTTATAATCTATTAATTTTAAATATTAAGAGAAAATTTTAACATTTTAATTTTAATACAGAATCTAAGCTGCAAACACTTTGGCTAAAAACATGAAGATGTGATTTAATAAAAATGCTTGTTACACTTGATATTCATCATTGTCTGATCTTGTTCGCTGCATGCCAACACACAACCTCACTGTAATCTTTTAATACTTGGTAGAGACACATACGTTCTCTTATAATTTTTTTTATTTATTAATCATTTTTATTACAAATATTTGTTATTTAAATATTATTAGTTAATATGAATTATTTAATCCAATGTTATTTTGCACAATTTTCACACAAAATCTAAGCTGCAAACAATGAAGATGTGATTTGTGAAAAACTCTTTGTCACACTTGATCTTCACTGTTGTCTGATCTTATTTGTGATTTAGATGCATGCCAACACACAAGCTCGCTTTAATCTTGTAACATTTGTTAGAGACACGTGTCATGTTCTCTGGAACCATCAGACTTTAAAACTTTGTGTGGCTGAAATAAATCTAACAGAGCAGGGGACTAGAAATACGAGTTTGTGCACTTGGCTCCTGGTGGTACAGTATGTCATGACTGTGTACTTCGTGTTTGTCTGTGATTCAGCCCCTGTAGGCTCCGCATTGAGCGCATACTTCGGCCATTGGTCATGGTGGGGGGTGTGCTGAGCAGCATTGGGATGGTGGCCGGGTCATATGCCCAGGTTCTGCTGCAGCTGTACATCACTGTGGGGTTCCTTACAGGTAAGGGTGCAACCAGCAGTGGAGCATATGGCTGTATTCACGCTCCTGCACACACACACATTCACACTTCCAATGTTTCAATTTGGATTCACAACTTGAAAAGGTCATTAGCCATTTATAGCAGCTGTATGGGATCTTATTCATGAACCTCTCAGATTCAGGAACACTGCAGAGCATATGATGAAACAGGAAAATGGTAGAGAGAGAGAGAGAGAGAGAGAATGAAATAAAGAAAGATTTTACCCAAGAGACTTTTTAAAAAAGGCAATTTATTTTGTCCATAATAACTGCTGGTGCATTTAGTGTTACTTGTTTAATCTTTTTGCACTAATGTTATTTTGTACAAAATCTAAGCCACAAAACTAAAAATGTACTGATTTTGTCTGACCAATAAAGCACACTAAAGGAAAGAAAGAAATATATTACGCAGCACAACTTTTTCAACATTTAAAATAATAAGAAATGTTTCTTAAGCACCAAATCAGCATATTAAAATGATTTCTGAAGGATCATGTGACACTAAAGACTGGAGTAATGATGCTGACAATTTAGCTTTACATCACAGGAATAAATTACATTTTAAAATATATTCAAATAGATAAGTTATTTTAAATAGTAATAATATTTCACAATATTACTGTTTTTACTGTATTTTTGATCAAATAAATGCAACCTTGGTGAGCATAAAAGATGTCTTTTTAAAAAGTCTGGTGTTTAATCTGCAGTAACAGCAGTAGCACAAGTTACAGGTTAAGTTTAATGATAGCAGTTTTGCCTGGCTGAGGCGTCGCTAGTTGGAAGAAAGGGGAACTAAGTACAAGGGGCCCATAACAATCTTTTTCGTGAAACCTAGCAACGCCAGTGGCAATGTTTCAAAATGAAGGTGTATTCAGTCATTCAGTGTTACTAGATGGTCATAATACACATAATCTTGCAATACTGTTGTCCATTTAACCTGTGGCATTTAAACAATGTTTTATCTTAGAAAATTAATGACTTGTCAGAGGAATAAATGCTTGCTCAGCTATATCTACCTACTTTTATATCCACCTACTTTGCTCTCTGAATGTCCTTTTTGTTTCGCCCTGACCTGGCCCCTACTGTCACCATGCTTGGCTGGTACTTTGAAAAGGAGAGCACAGGAGAGTGCATCCTCACCTTCATCCTCACCCTATTCATGGTGGATCAGTATTCCTGGAGGGGAGCGATGCTGATCCTGGGAGCTCTGCAGCTCAACTTGTGTTTGTGCAGAGCTCTTCTGAGACCCCTCAACAGACACGTTCCTCCTAAAGAGCTCATAGAGGAGAAAGAGCTGGAGCTGGAGCTGTCATCCCAAACTTACACAGACTCTAAAAGTTCAAATAACAGGTCAGACTAAAAAAAATCAGATCCACTGAAGGTCAAAATAATTCGCTACATGGACTACACGCGTATCGCTAATACTCGCTTCATGTCTACTCAGTGTTTGGTGTCTTTGCTGCTCTCGGCTTCGTCGCTCAGTCTCTCTTTCTGGTACCGTACGCCCGCAGTCAAGGAGTGGAGGAGTACCAGGCGGCTGTTCTCATGTCCATCTCTGCGGTGCTAGATTTGTTAGGATGGGTGTTGTTATTCGGGTGGGTGGCTAATCTGCGACTGTAGAGACAGTCCATCAACTGATTGTAACAGTGATTCTGTTGGGCATTGTTCTGTTGCTCTGCCCGCTAGCAACCACATTCACCCAGCTAGCGTTGTTCAGTGCAGGTTATGGACTGGTGTTTGGGGCAACTGTGGCGATTCACATCACGGTACTCGCGGAAGTGGAAGTTATAATATTTTATATTTGTGATTTATTTGTTTCTTTATTTGTTTGTTTGTGTGTAATTATGAAGTCGGTTACACTTTATTTCGATAGTCCACTTTAGACATGCTACTAACTATAAGTAAATTTGTAACTACATGTCAACTACATGTCAACTAATTCTCATTAATTTGCAACTACATGTCTACTAACTCTCAGAGTAGACTTAGGGTAGGTTTAGGGTTAGTAGAATAAGTTGACAAAGAAAGTGTTAGAAGATATTAAGCAGACAGTCTACTAATACTCTACTAAATGCTAGTTGACATGTAGTTGCAAAGTTACTTGCTGTTAATAGAATGTCTGATGTGGACTATCGAAATAAAGTGTTACCATGAAGTCTACCACCAGGGGCTACATAGTTCAATATGCAATATTGTTACAAATGACTTGCTAAAGTCACTCTATAGTCTGACATCGTACAGTCACAAGATGTCCCGTTTCATTGTTTAGAAAGCTCTTTATCAGTCATCCGAATGCATACCCTTTCCTAATCATATTTCTTTGATGAGGTTTCTCATTAATTCCTTGACAGCACTCAATTTACAGTAATATTATATTATCTTCCCATAAAGCGTTGCCTATCAGAGAAATGTGTTTGGCAATTGTGTTAATTTCATGGATTATTGGTCACTGCATAAATGGCTCTTCCGGTTTCAACAGCAGGCCACGCTTTGACTGCCCTCACCAAAATTAAACCATTTATTTGGTTTCATTGGCTGTAATTTTTCTGTGCCCGCTGCTCAGGGTGTAGAACACATCACAAAAGGTAGTGTGATAATACATCAGCGGAGCTCTACAAAAGTGGTCAATAAATCAACACAAACAACCAGCCCTGAACAACAATGTATATAATAGCCTTAATTGATTACTTGATGAGATGGTTTTGTTGTGTTGAGATAATTACATTTTGCTCTTACCCAACAGTTTTTCCTCTCAAGAACATCTGCCAAAACATGGCACCCCAAGCAGCCAAAAGCCTCTCCCACACCAGAGGCAGTTCAACACTAAATCATCCAGAAAAACCTCATCTGTCCATTTAAAGGCATTGACTGCCAAAACTATGTCTATATCTGTATTATGATAGACTAATGTACCTCAAATGAACTTCAAATGAATCTCTTGGGGTTTTAGTTTTTTTTTCCATTAAATAGTAGAGCATAGATTGATGTTTGGGAGGAGAGGAGAGCCTTTATTTTAGGCACTACAGGTTAAGAGTGTAGTCTGCTGGACTCCATAACGGGTGATGTAATTACACCATAAATTAGCTCTGCAGCAGTTTTTGTCAGTGAGCTTTAATTGGGTTGGAAAACACCTTTACTGTGGCATTATAAAAGATGACTCAAATGATCACTGCGTCACTGACTTCACAGGCACTCTATTCCTTGGTGCTTTAATTGATCGATCATTTAAAATAAATGCACAGGGAAATGTGCATTCAGAAAGCAGCTTAGCCAGAAAACGTGAGGAGGGATGATGCACGAACAACTGCGGGCAAATTAGTGGTGCTTGGGCAAGCATCACTAGTATGCACAAGCTACCATCCAGCACATCCTATTGCAACTGCATACAAATGGCTTTGCAACCACCTACAGCATGCTAGAAATGAGTTTTGGCGAATTTTTCATGCAAGCAGCACCCTCACATTTTGCTCAGATAATGTAAACATTTTCATTTTAATTGCAAGCTAATAACATTGTCATGATATTAAATATTACTTACCGTTTTTATGACTGCATAGAAAATGTGACCACATAAGAGATTTTTTCTTAGATTTAGTGATTTGTTTGCATATATGAATAACCTTTATGTGTAATTTCCTTTTTGTTTAGTTTTTGTGAGAGTTTTAAGCCTTACTTTTCTGCATTAATCCAGTCTTGTCATTGAATAGGTCACCTAAAAATGAAATTTTGCTGAAAATTTACTCACCCTCAAGCCATCCAAGATGTAGATAAGTTTGTCTCTTCATTGGAACAGATTTGGAGAAATGTGACATTACATCACTTGCTCACTAATGGTCCTCTGCAGTGAATGGGTGCCGTCAGAATGAGAGTCCAAACAGATGATAAAAACATCACAATAAACCACAAATAATCCACACAACTCCAGTCAATCAATCAATGCATGTTTGTAAAAAGCTAATCCATTAAGGCATTTTAAATTTAAACCGTCACATCTGACCAAAATGTGAGTCCCAAATGTTTCCTTTAGTATTCTTCTGACATCAAAATCCACTGACATATTTGTTTAGAACTGTTCTGGACCGTTGTTTGCTTGTGAATGGTGCATATTTCTCTCCTGATTTTGACACAATGACTGTGTCACTGGAGAAAGCAATATTATGAATAGAGGACTTATATTTTATCAGGAAGCAACATTTTTAAGTTTAAAACATCTTAATGATGGATGTTTATAACAAACACTCAGCTTTTCGCTTCACAAAATGTTAATTTATTAACTGGAGTTGTGCAGATTACTCCTGGATCACTGTGATGTTTTTTTCAACTGTTTGAACTCTCATTCTGACGGCACCCATTCACTGCAGAAGATCCATTGGTGGGCAAGTGATGTAATGCTACATTTCTCTTTTTCAAAAAAATTTAGAAACAAACTCATCTAAATCTTGGATGACCTGAGGGTGAGTAAATATTCAGCAAATGTTCAACTATTGCTTTCAGTGAAAATTTAACTTCAAACTTAATTATTAAATATTTTCTACTGTTTCTACAGGAATCTTCATAGACAAAATGAATGACTATGGAGCTGGTTTTCTGATGGCGGGTGTGGCTCTTCTCGTCTCCACCCTCTTTCTGCTTGTATTACAGCAAATGAACAAAAAAGGGACAGAAAAGGGAAAAGACTTAAACTTGGAGTACGGGAAAGGACATGAGGATCTGAAACACAGGAATTCCGGTTTCAGAAAAAGTTAGTAAGCTCTAGCGTAATGTGTAATGTTTCACATGCAGCTACGCAAGCAGAGATTATAATTAGAGATGACTGTCAAAAGTGATAGGTGTAAACTGACAACATGGCTAATGCTGCTGACATGCACAGTCTGTCCATTCCTGAAGAAAAACTCGATCTCTTAATGATGCTGAGTGAACAGACATTTCCCACCTAAATGAAGTATTTGATGGATTCTGGGAAGTCTTTTGATTGTAGTCTTATAATGATAGCATTGCAAGCAATATTTCATCAGATCTATTGCTCTGGAAAATGGGCACTGCCTTAATGGACTAATGGAAGCTGACTCAGTTTAGCTACAGCCAAAGATGATCACATGCAGTCAAGAACAATATCTGCTGCAATTGCTTGTATGATAGTATGTATGTATTTTATTCAGTCTGTCCAAAATTACACTTAATAGAATTAAGGTTTTTTCAAAGTGCAATCTGCAGGTCTGGATGTCATATAAATCCCACAGTTCAGAAAACATTCTCATTTATCGCCCTCTAAAGGTGAGAAAAGGGAAATGCAGGATGGATGGCTACAGTGAAATGGTTCTAAATGCATTTTTGCCTCTATTATTATTTTTTATTTATTTTACATATTATAAATAAGCAATTTTTTTGTTGTTTTGTTTTTTACAAAATCCTTAAAATCATATTAGCCTACATAAAAGTTACTGAGTACACATTTAAGAAACAAAAACAAAAAAAACTTAATAAAGAGCATTTTGTTCTGCAAAAAAACTTACAATAGGTTGATCTTGGATCTGTGGGAGATAAATGTGTTTCAGAAGGCATAGACTAAAAACACAGGCACATCCTGTTGAAGAAAACCACACGATAGATAGTGGTGTCTAGATATTTCCTGTTTATACTGTGTGATGAAACGGTGACCGTTCAAAGTCAAACTATCTTTATAAGATATCAAAGCAAAATTATCTTTTAACAATAATCTGTTCCCAACATCTGCACTTTGATGTGTTTTATTCATGCTGGTCTGTGTGTATCACAGATTAATGGCTTTCCAAACTGGAAAAAATAAATGAAAATAACAGAAATAAAATTCAATATGCTTGTTACTTCCCATGCATATGAGAAAGCAAACCTTATGCTAGACAAATAGAGTCTTCAATGGCATACATTTTAGTCTGTTCACATGCACAGTTTTGACTTTCCCTTATATTACATTATTTTGTTATATTTTAACTTGTTTTCCTTTACTTTAACATGCGAGTGTTGATAGTAAACTAAACAAATACTTAAGTTGTATTGAGTTTGTGTTATTTATATACTAGAATTTAATAATATCTTGAATGAACTGTTATTTTTATATTTATTAATTTTATAATGCACTTTTGTTAGTTTATTATATTTTTACTTGGTTTAAATTTTTCAGTTTTAGTCATTTTAGTACTTGAAATTCAATATATTTCATTTCTAAGTTATTTATATATATATATATACACACATACATACATACATACACACACATACTGTATATATTTAGTTTAGTTAACAGATCTTATCATTTTATCTTTTATTACATATATATAGTTTTTGACACTTGATCCCATCAGTAAATACCAGAGAGAAGAAATAATGCTGTAATAAGAGAAAATAGGACTCGCGCGATTTTCCTGTGACCTGAGTCATCCTTTCTTTTAAACACTGTTGAGGTGATGAGTCCTTTGAAGTCTGTAATTGGAAACAGTTGATGGAGTTAAGTGAAATAACGGATCCCAGATCTGTTTCGCCAGCCATTTCTCCCTTAACCCGTAAAACTGGGCCTCTTAACTTTGACTTGTGTGGTCAGGTTAGATTGAATCTAATAATAAAGACAAAAGGAAAACTACCTAAGAAATTGGACAGAAATTACAACAAATTGGAAATCTGTTTGTCCCTAAACAGAAAATTCAAAGAACACCTGATTAATGTGAGCAGGTCTTTAAAAAGTAAGAAACTATGATAGGGACAGACTGTGTACAGACTCAGTAAACATAACCTTTCAAAAGTGACAAGTAAACACAGACAGACCTGTATTTCTCAAAAAAAAAAAAAATCCTGTTTCCCAAAAGCATCGAATACCAATCTACGCACGCGTTTACATAATGGCTCTAGCGTTGCACCTCCAGACTGTACTATCAAGTTTTTCCTGAATGGACTTTTTGGTGGACTATAAAGGGAAGAATAACAGGCTTTTCTTCACTCCAATTCACGTGTTTTCAGTCACTATTTCACACTCTTCCCCTTAAATGCGGAAACAACTGTTCATACAATGCGCGGTGTTTCCGTGACTTTCCAAAGCATGTGAATATGAGGCTCGCGAATGGCTGTCTGTTGCTACGCATTTAGCCGCAACATTCAAACAGTGTTGCCAACTTAGCAATTTTGTTGCTAAATTTAGCAACTTTTCAGTCTAAACTAGCAACTATTTCTTCCAAAAGCACCCAGCAACAAATTTAACTACTTTGAAAATTTATTTGGCCACTTTGAGCAACTTTTGATAAGTGACTCAGACAATAAAAAGGCACACATTTTCCATCCAAATTACACAAAAAGAGGAAACCAAAGATGCCTAGAAGTACACACATCACGTGAATTGAGTTAGCTGCTATTTGCAATTGTTCAATTTAATCATAATAATAATTGTTCATTTATGATACACTTTGTTAGTAGCTTGTACTTGTGATTGTTGATCATTTTGTACGCTGTAAGAAAAACAGAAAAGATATTAGTAATTTTCCAGGACATTACTCAATATGTTGCCCATTGTAACCCGAAAACACAATGCAGGTAAAAAAACAAAACCTACGGAAAATTCTTTCATATTATTAACATAGTAGATTGTGCCCTATTTTTACAGACTTTTCTTTGAGTGTAGCATACTAACTAACTAGGCTACTAATACACTGCTTAATGTAATTGTTAAGAATGTGTAGTATTACTAGTTTACTAGCTATTAAAAAAAAAAAAAAAAAAAACTTACATTGTAGTCATTAAAAAATGTGTAGGTGTTCAATAATTCAATGTATTTAAAAATAGTTATTTATATTATATTACGCAAATTATTTTACAAACAAATCTAAATTAACATATATAAAATATATATTTTAGCTGAGATTTGATGTTGTGACAATTTTGCTTTACATTGTAGTCATTAAAAAATGTGTAGGTGTTCAATAATTCAATGTATTTAAAAATAGTTATTTATATTATATTACGCAAATTATTTTACAAACAAATCTAAATTAACATATATAAAATATATATTTTAGCTGAGATTTGATGTTGTGACAATTTTGCTTCGTGATTACGCAATGACTCATTTAACAACAAATCAACCTTCCTTTAGCAACTTTCTCTGAAAATTAGTTGGCAACACTGCATTCAAACAGCGTAATCTTCGGTGAGGGTGCGAGATAAAAGGCTCTTTTAACAAGCTTCCATAGTAACCTACCTTTACCCGGGGTTAAATTTAGAACTACAATAACCCAGGCTTAAACAGTTTGCAAAGCCCTACACACTACACTTTTCTGCTGTTAAACCTTCCAGAACACATTGCTTCATAAACGTCCAATATCCAATTAGGCTACTGCTTTCTAACAAATGTACATTTTGTAAATTGCATAAATTCCTGATTTGACTAAGATCACTTAACTTGTAACTGTTAAATACCTTTTAATGCAAAACAGACATGTGTTCTGAGACTATTACTTTTTTATTTAACAGATATCTTTGCCTATTACCTGGGTGTCAGACTCTGTTCCTTGTTTTGTGTGTTTTGCTCCCCATGTGCCTTCCTTGCCCTTATTTCATCCTTCCGGTTCCTGTCCCCATTTAGTTCTATTTGTTCCAGGTCCTTGTTGTTAGTTATCCTCCTCACCTGTCTGCCCCTCGTTATCTACCCTATTTGAGTACTAGCCCGTTCTGTTCTCCCTCGTCCGGAATTGTATATGTCTACCCTTGCTACGTGTGTTTTCCGTGGTCCCTGGCTGTTATTAAAATCTATTTGTTTGAATTCCACTCCTTGTCTCCTCGTTCCTTCGTCTCCGTGCTCCTCACAGTAGCCCAACGTGACACTGTGATATAATTACATTTCTTGAATCAATAAGTAAACATGTAGCCTGTTTCTTCTGAACTCTGATATGTTCACAGGTGTCTTCGTCCTGTAAAAGCAGTGGTGTTAAAGGTTAAAATGGACTTTTTTTCCAGCCCCTGCAGCAGGGGTACAGAAGGGTACAGAGAGTGTGGGGCTGGAGGCGGGATGTCCTACTTTAGGAGGGAACATGAATTTTCAAAGACTAGTGGCCCCTTCCTCAGAATTCACCACATGCTTTCATTCTTTCTGCTTGTTCACCCAGTCTGTTTTATCCCATGAAAATGAGCACACACACACTTAGAGATCGCAGGGAAACCTCAGTTTTCTTAAGACAAAAGCAAATATGTGAAATATGAGATTTTCTACTGTACTTTTTTGCTTTATCAGATACTTCACAGATGTATTTTCCAGATGAAGATACAAGTTTGTCATAAAATTATGCCCAGCCAAAGGAAATGTAAGAAAATCTCATTCCCCAAACTTTGTCTTTTCGTCCTCCTCTTTCCCTCCCTCTCTTCTCATTCCCTCCCTCCCTCTCTCAGAGTAACCATGTGCTTTTCGTGTCAGTAGACACATTTAACTCTCTCCTCAGAATAACCGATGCACAGACAGCTGTCTCATTTTCTCTTTTTCTTTAACGTCTCCTCCTCTCAGTTCTCCTTTTGTAGTGTTCTTTATGTGTTTTTTATGCAGCTTTTTTCCTCTTTATGGCTCTGGAAACTCTCCTGTAAAGGAATTATTTTAATTGCAACAGGACAGAGACACCTTAAGCACACATATACATGCTTGAGGAAGCCACAACATAAGCACCTCCAACGGGACTGACTTCAAAAGTCTGAGGATTACTGGGAGAGAAGAAGGACAATCAGGCTGAAAGAGCGGGACCATGCTGGGCTGTCAGATCCAGACTGGGTTTGTGCCGGTTCTGCTGGCCTGTTTCTTTCTGCTGTTGGCATCTGGTTCAGGGAATGCACGCATGATCAGGAAGAGGGGACTCAACCATAAGGTAAGGATTCAATGTGTGTGTGTGTGTGTGTGTGTGTGTGTGTGCACGCGCGCGCGTGTGTGTTGGACACTAGAGGCCTCTTAGGCTCAGCAAGGCTACATATAATTAACATATAATTTATATTTAATTTAATGCATGTTTGTTGAATAAAAGTATTAATTACTTTTTTATGCATATGCTAATATGCAGTCTCCTGTAATAACTGCATGATTGCCATATTCCAGTACCAAAGTATTTTGATATACCATGGTAGTGAATGATACCGACCATGTTCATATATAATGGTATTTTCATTGTAGTACCACATCCAAAAAAACACGGGACTATCATGGTACCATGTCATGCCATTTTCAAATACCATAATATGTTGATCATGGTACTTCAAAGAATACCACTGCTTTTTTTCGGATTACCATAGACTGCAAATACACTACAAAATAAGTAATATGCAGATATGCACTCTTAATATGATATCTGATGTACACTTTTGTGAAACGTCTTTGGGCTCTTGACTCTCTGGTGTATTTTGTTTGCCAATTTGCTTGTTTTTTTGTTTTTTTTTATTTATTGTAAAGTGTCCTTGGGTTCTTGAAAGATGCTATAAAAATAAAATATTATTATTATTATTACACTTGAGCAGGAATATGGTAATATCATGGCACTCTTTGGCCCTTTGTTGTTAGTGAAGGCAGTGTTGCCAGAGGTTGGCATCTGTGAGCTTTTAAGAGGGTTTTTAGGTCCATTATACAGTAAAAAAAAAAACCTAATGAATACACTGTGTCTTTGTGACTCTTTGTGCTGTGGTTACGGTTGAATACTCAGATGTATGTAGTGTGTGTGTGTGTATGCAACAGAAGTAGAGGGATTTCAGGTGAGAATTTTCTGGGCCTCTGCTCATTAGTCCTGATAAGCGTAGGTTTGATTGATAACAATTAACAAGGGATGGCAAGATGGAATTTGCATGGGATGGATATCCCTTCCTAACTAACTGAATTCCAGCGTCATTCTGATTACGGCTCTACTGCGGAATTCAAGACGGATCCATTAACATTCCAAAGGAAATGGACCGTGCCCAAAGTAACCTCCCTGTTACATTTGTAACGCGGCTGACGAGACGTGAGACGTTCGGATCCAAATGCAAAGCTTTAATTGGAGAAGACACAGACGTGGTCATAAAGCAGGCAGGGTCAAACAGAGGCAGACAGGTATATGGCGGGCAAAACACAAGAATAATCCTAGGGCTAGTGTGGGTCGATGAACTGCAGACAGAGTCACAGGGGCAAGGCTAAAGGGAGGAATCCAGGAAAACAGGCGAAGATCAAAACCGGAGAAAACAGACAAGGCTAAGGCTAAGGCTAAGGCAGGGAAACAGGGTGGAGCCAGCAGAGCAGAAGACCACCACGGCGGAGCAGGCAGAGCAGAAGGCCAACACGGCAGAGCAGCGGACCACCACGGCGGAGCAGAAGGAACAGGAAACCCCCCCGGGGAACCACACCGAACAGGAGACCATGGCGGAAACTGTAACAACGAGAGAGCCGAGACAGAAAACACAGACAGAAACATTGGGTTGATAGACAAGACTGAACATTCAGGGGCAGCCTCCCTGGCTTGGTCGGGACAAGACAAAAGTTCACAAACGGCCTCCATAACCGTGACAGGACGAGCAGGGAGTTCGCAAACGGCCTCTATAGCTGTGACAGGACGAGCAGGGAGTTCACAAACGGCCTCTATAGCGGTGACAGGACAAACAGGGAGTTTGCAAACAGTCTCCTTAGCCGTGACAGGATAGATAGAGTTCATAGGCGGCCTCCTTAGCCGTGACAGGATAGACAGAGTTCATAGGCGGCCTCCTTGGCCGGAACAGAACAGGCAGAGAGTTCGTAGACGGCCTCCTTGGCCGGAGCAAGACAGACAGAGAGTTCATAGACAGCCTCCTTGGCCGGAACAGGACAGGCAAAAGGTGCGTTGCTGGACGCCTCCACCACGCAAGGAACTGAGGCAAGTGTCGCCATCTCGGGAGGTTCTGCAGCCTGTGCCGCCACCTCTGAAGAGACTACAGTGGACCCCATGGCCTCTGGGAGCACAGCAGTCAACATCGCTACCTCGTGTGGTTCTGCAGCGTAAGCCGCCACCTCTGGAGATGTCGTAGCTGATGCCACTGCTTCTAGCAAATCAGCGGTGGAGTACGCGGTCCAGATACACCATAAAGCAACCCCCCATATGGGAAGTGCTGCAGACAGGGGAATGAGTTCATGAATAGATGAGTGAGAGTGAGTGGGTTTGGGGATACCAGCGGTGCGTGCAGACACCAGCGGGGTATCCCTCACACTGGCTACCAGACTGGGATACCGAAGGGCTGACCTTGAGAATCTGGGTGTGACAGACTCAGGAAGAACAACTGTGGCCTGACTAGACTCAGGAAGAACAACTGTGGCCTGACTAGACTCAGGAAGAACAACTGTGGCCTGACTAGATGCGGTTGTGTCCGCCATCTTGTGATCAGGCTCCGCAACTGCCGCCATTTTGTGAGCTTGCTCTGGTTCAGCCATCACCTCAGTCACAGACATGGTGTCGCTTCCTTCCTCCGCGACACCCACCGTGAACGCTGAACCAGTAGTCAGCAAGGCATAGTCAATAAAGTCCTTTAAGCTACAGTTGCATTCACTCCTTGGCATACGAGATTTCGTGGGTTCATTGAGTCCAAAACGAAACAAGTCCTTAAATAAAATCTAATCATAGAGTGGTACCTGATAAGATAGTTCACAGAACCGGTGAACATACTCCTCAATAGAAAGACCTCCTTGCCGAAGATGTAGTAGCTCGGTGACTGGGTCCATACCAGGCCAGAGTCCACTGAAAAAGCCGCTGGATCCTTGTGTGGCCGAGTATTCTGTAACGCGGCTGACGAGACGTGAGACGTTCGGATCCAAATACAAAGCTTTAATTGGAGAAGACACAGACGTGGTCATAAAGCAGGCAGGGTCAAACAGAGGCAGACAGGTATAGGGCGGGCAAAACACAAGAATAATCCTAGGGCTTGCGTGGGAAGATGAACTGAAGACAGAGTCACAGGGGCAAGGCTAAAGGGAGGAATCCAGGAAAACAGGCGAAGATCAAAACCGGAGAAAACAGACAAGGCTAAGGCTAAGGCTAAGGCAGGGAAACAAACGAGGGCTCTGTAGTGTCGCTATCGCTAGGGGAGTGATAAACGCTGAACAATACTCTGCAGAGGGAAGGGATCAGAGTGAGTGTTAAATAGTGAGGGAGTGATATGAAACAGCTGGGTGCAATCAGTGCAATGCATGATGGGAAATGTAGTCCGGGGTGATGTGCAATAGTGTGTAGTGCGAGAGTCAATGAAATTGGAAGTTCATGGACCGGATTTGTGACAACATTATAATACAGACATCTTCTTTCTGATTTTTTCTTGTTCTTAAAAGTCCTTTCATATTCATTTTCATTTGACTAATTTATCTTTCCATTTGACTTTATAACAAGCAACATCTGCTTCCTTCCCTAGCTGTCCTCTCTTTCTCACTCTCTCTCTCTCTGCAGACTAGAGTCATTGGTGTGAACTGATGAAGCATGGACAGACACACAGTACAGTGCTGTTATAGCAATAAATCATAATTAGGTTCACATTGAGGATAATTGAGATCATTCCACTGATGTGACCTCTCTAAGAAAACAGCAATAACAGGGCTCAGAGAAGTAGGTGAACTGTGCCTCACTTTCAGGGTTTTGTAACATGGTATTGTAGGTGGAGAGAGAAAGTGGGTTTAAGCCAGCATTCTGCTGAGCTGGATTTTCTGGGTGGGCCTGAAGCGGTCCAAAAGCCATGTTGGTCAGCTCACTCTTGACAGCGAACCACAGACTGTTCTGTTTGTGTTTGGTAAAAATGTTTGTGGCTGAGCATTTCAGACTTTCATGAACAACTCTGAGTCAGAATGTATTCAGTTCATGCGCTGTTTTAGGGTTTGCATAGCTAAAGTAGGGTTATAAAGCTAATGATTTCTCATTGATCTTTAAAGATAGTCGTCACAAAAAGCTTGTAAGGAAACCAGAACATGTAAAGGCAGGTGAGGGGGTCATCTCAGCTCGGCTGTACCCTCACAGCTCCACTAATCTCTAAGCACAGTGATGATTACCAGGCCAAGGGAGAACGCTTCAAAAGCTGACAGAGATTATGACAGATGTGTTAGAGTTACTTGTCAACAACCTTCTGAGGTGATGTGAAGTGTCTGTCATCCTCTTTCAGGTTCTGTTCTCTCATAGTAGATTCTAAATCAAGAGTGCAGTATCTGCTTTCATGGCAGGTTATTTCAGTTCGGATGGAACATGTTAATGTTTTGAACTGTAAATAACTTTGGCAAGATATTAACCATTACTTTTCAGCTTAAATGATTCACCCTGAATGAACACCCTGGAACTTATTAGAAGCTTATTATAAGTGTTTTTAGTATCATATGATATTAAATATTTTATATTCAGAGAAATATTTATGTGGCAGAAGAACAATCTAAATTAGGGTGATATTAAATAGAACAAAAATGCATTAAATGTTTAACATAAATAGAATAGATAAGAATAGACCATATTTATTAAATAATTACATTACCATTTAAAAGTTGGGGTCAGTAGGGTTGTAAAAACATATCAAAATAGAAAAATTTATTTTAAATTGTAATAATATTTCACAATATAACCGTTTTCACTGCATTTTTAAACAAATATATGCTGCCTTGGTGAACATAAGTGACTTCTTTCAAAAACATAAAAATCTTACAGACCAAACCTTTGAATGGTAGTAAATGACTAATAAACTACAAAACACAATCATTTTTATAACCGAGTAAAAATGTGAACAGCACAGTATCATTAAACTATTGACACAGAGACTTGAAATGAGTTTGTGAATCATTTATTTGATCATCAAATTGTTTGTATAAAGGGGTCATATGATGCGATTTCAAGTTTTCCTTTCTCTTTGGAGTGTTACAAGCTCTTGGTGCATAAAGAAGATCTGTAAAGTTGCAAAGACTAAAGTCTCAAATCCAAAGAGATATTCTTTATAAAAGTTAAGAGTCAACCACTCCTACCTAAAACGGGCTCGTTCTAAGACGCCCCCACATGTCTACATCACAATGTGGGAAGATTTGCATAACGCCGCCCTAATGTTCACGCAAAGAAAGAAGACGTAACTTTTATTCTCGATGTAGTATTGTTGCTGCCGCCATGTCGTGAAGATGCTGTGTGTTTCGTTGTGAAAGCGAAACTACTTTGTTTGGCCTTCCAAAAGAGGACGATATCCGCTTCGTCATGCCTGGAGCTGATCCGTGCTGGTCGCTGAGGAAATACATCAACTTCGCGCTGTGGATCGCCGGATTGGCTTTCACCGTGGATGAAGCAGAGTCCAGCCCGGAGTCGGCACATGTGGTTGCCGCAAGCACGCTGGCCAGCCATTCTCAAGCCCGCTGGCCTCTGCTCACTCTAGCCGCCGGCCGCCGCTCACTCTAGCCCGCCATGTGTGACACTGTGTGTTTCGTTCTGAAAGCGAAACTACTTTGTTTGGTCTTCCAAAAGAGGACACGACTAGAAATCAGTGGTTAAGTTGTATTTACAACACTGTTCCAGAACAGTTCAACCCAAATATTCAGATGTGTGCAGCACATTTTATGGAGGACTGTTTCCTGATCCTAGTAGAGTAGACTACAATGCCGGCTGTTCTGACTCACAGACTGTAAGTACGTTTTTTATATTTAAAGGATTTGCCACTGATGATTCAAACGCGAGTTTTGAGCAGTGTAGAGTAGCGCTTGTTGTTTGTCATTTCTCCGATCACACGCTTGAGGTATTCAGCCAATCACAACGCACTGGATAGCTGGCCAATCAGAGCACACCTCGCTTTTCAGACCGATGAGCTTTGTAAAAATCGACACGTTTCAGAAAGGCAGGGCATAGAGGAGAAACAATCATGTACAGTATGTGGAAAATAATGTGTTTTTTTAACCTTAAACCGCATAAACACATTTCATTACACCAAATACACAAAATAATGTTATTTTTAGCAACATCATATGACCCCTTTAAATGAACCATACAAACAAACAAACAAACAAACTGATTTAATAAAATGATTCAGTCTTTCCAGCACTGCATACAAAAGAACAGATTGGGAGAGTTCAGCTCATCTGTAAAGCTTTGGGTGTGATAAAATGACCAAAAGTTATTAGTTCTTAAAGAAGCATTTGACTGTTGTGGTGTTTCAATTCTAACTAATATCCAACATGGGTTCAGCCTAAAGCAGTTGAACAGCATTTATGTGTTCTGTTGAAGAGAGAGTTCAACAGTAATCCCAGTCAGCTGAGGAGGCCATGTTTAAATACACATAGAACAGGGGTAGGCAAGTTCGGTCCTAGAGAGCCGCAGTCGTGCAGAGTTCAGCTCCAACCCTGAAAACAAAACTCACCTGCCTATATCCTTAGTAATCCTGAAGACATTGATTAGCTTGTTCAGGTGTGTGTTAAAATTAAGCTTTTCCATCACAGGAATTAATCACATTTTAAAATATATTAAAATGAAAAACAGTTATTTTGAATTTTATAATTTTGATTAAATAAATGCAGCCTTTCTGAGCGTAAGAGACTTCTTTCAAAAACATAAAAAAACTTACTAACCCCACTTTTGGTAAGACTTTTGGTAACTTTTGAGTGGTAGTGTATATATGAAATGATAATGTATGATAATGACTGCATTTCATTTTTCTTGTACTCTGTAAAAAGACCATAAAATTGAATCTAAGCTAATTACAAAAACAACCACAATGGGCTTATGCCAGACATTTGCTTTTATTTTAACAGTTTGTTCAAAAGCATAGCTCCAAACTTGCCAAGTGAACATGCTGAGTTTTTAAGATGCATGTAGTTCACAAACCCATAATTTAATTTGTAAACAGAATCACAGCCACATTTCGACTCGGGGCCTTAAATAAAAGGCTCTGTGAAGAAGAATGAAGTGCTGAATACCAGCTCATGCGTGTCTGCATTCTAAACAGCTCTGGTCTGGAGTTTCAGCAGCAGTTTAGTATACAGTATATACTTGGCCAGAGTAGCAAGAAAATTGATGAGTTTAAGTACAAGAAAAGCAAGAGCGAGAGAATGGAGGAGGACTCTCAGAACAAAATGCACCCCTAAACAGTACCTCTGGTGCAAACTGAAACCTGGCTCAGGCAGATCTATGAACCCATTGAAGAACCCATGGGAGGAAGAAAACTAGAGCAGAAAGACCCAGGCTTGAATGAAAAGCCTTTTTTTCTAACCCAGCATCTCTATGAGAGGTATTATGTTCCTGAACACTGTGTCCGTTATATTAACAGTGCTAAATCAGAGAAAGTCACAGGTTATTGTAGATGCAAAATGTCATCCATGGAAACTGTTTATCAGACAGGGCTTCAAGGAACTGAAACCAATGCTAGATTAGGCCGATTGTTTTGTACAATTAATGTACAAGTTTTTTTTTTCTTCGTCTTAGTGGAAGCTTTAAAAAATAATATACATAACACACCAGCAGACAAGGGTTTGGAATAATTAAATTTTTTAATACAGATTTATTTTTTTTATGTTTTCTTTTATGCTCACTAAGGCTGCATTTATTTGATCAAAAATACAGTAAAACAATATTGTGAAATATTATAAAATTTTAAAAATAACTTTTCTATTTGAATGAATTTTAAAATATAATTTATTCCTGTGATGGCAAAACTGAATTTTCAACAGCCATTACTCCAGTCTTCAGTGTCACGTGATCATTCAGAAATCATTCTAATATGCTTATTTGGTCCTTAATTATTAATAATAGTTCTTATTATTATCAATGTGGAAAACTATTTGCTGGAATATTTTTGTGAAAACCATGATACAATTTTTTCAGGATTCTTGGATGAACTGAAAGTTCATTGAACAGCTTTTATAATATATATATATTTTAATCATACCCCAAACTTTTGAATCATAGTGTATGAAGGGTGCCATAAAAATATTAAACAGGAAAAAAAAATTCAAAAAAGGAATGTTTCTTAAAGCACCAAATCAGCATATATAATTTCTGAAGGATCATGTAACACTGGAGACTGGAGTAGTGGCTACTAAAAATCCAGCTTTGCATCTCACGAATAAATTACTTTTTAAATATATGTTCAGAGAAAAAGTTATTTTAAATTGTAATAATATGTCACAATATTACTCTTCTTTCAAAAACGTACAAAACATTTGTAAAAATCCTAATAATAATATCCCTTACATATGTCGTCTTTCAATCTCTCAGGACTATGAGTACCCCAACCATCCTCAGACCACTCAGCACCAGAAGAACGACCGCTGTCCTCCTCCACCGCAGATGCTGCCCGAGCGAGCCTGTGAGGTGCCGGGCTGCCGGTCCGATTCTGAGTGTGAGAGACACAAGCGGTGCTGTTACAACGGCTGCATCTACGCCTGCCTGGAGTCAGTGCAACCTCCACCCGGTAAGAAAACACACCATGATCTGCGCAAAAATCAATATAAGCAATAGACACAAATTTCCGCTTTAACATTTCTACAAGGCATAGTGCTAATGGATTTTTAAAATGAATTGATCCTCTCATGAAGTAGGAGTTACTGAGCTGGATGTGTATATGGTGAATCCTGAGTACATTTAACCATGCTGATATTGTGCATTGATTTCTTATTGGTCAGTGCTGGACTGGTTGGTGCAACCCAAGCCACGGTGGTTAGGAGGGAACGGCTGGCTATTAGATGGACCAGAAGAGGTTCTGCAGGGTAGGTATCGATTAATCAGTGATTGATTACCGACTCACCAAATGTTGTTTGGAGCAATATTTAAAAACATCTTAGTTACGGTAGATGCCATATTACATTTTCCATGAATTAAAATGAGGCTTTGAGGGACAGCAGCAGTCTTTCAGTCAGGTTTAGCTGACTCCTTTGTTTCTTCTCAAGGACTCACAAATATATATATATATATATATATATATATATAAAAATAAAATACCTGGAGAATACTATCCAGACGGGTCTAACTGGCCCATGCTGACCAGCAAATTCTTGACCCTCACTATTGTTACTTAAAGGTATAGTTCACCCAAGAATGAAAATGTGATGTTTATCTGCTTACCCCCAGGGCATCCAAGATGTAGGTGACTTTGTTTCTTCAGTTGAACACTCATTCTTGGGTGAACTATCCCTTTAATGTTATTTAATACCTTTTCTAACTGCAACACTGCCATCTGTAGGTGGGTTTCTATTATTACTAAATCAAGTAAAGAACAAGGATCACATGAACACTTTGCCCACAATAAAGCATTCTGGTGCTCAAACCAATGAATGATATTTTGTATCAGAATGCACTGGTAGCTTGCTTGAACACAGATATGCACACAGTGGAACACACCAGTAACTTGCTTGACTGTCTTTATGTGTAGCTGAGGCCTGCAGCACCACAGAGGATGGAGATGAGCCTTTGCTCTGCCCAACTGGTTACGAGTGCCACATTATCAACCCGGGAAACCCCTCAGCTGGGATCCCAAACCGAGGCCAGTGCATCAAACAGCGTGGAAACTCAGGTCTGAAGGGGCTCCTTTATCCAAACTTTCATTCATACATTAATCACGCCATCCACACACACGTTATGTGTAATGTGTATATATAAACATTGTTTCAGAAAACATCTAAGCAAGATTACATTCACACATTCAACAGCAGATTTTATAATTAATATATTTTTAAAAATATATTAATACCATAAACATTTAACTGCTCTCCCTCTAGATGGACGTAGCCTGAGACACAAGTCCTTCAAAGATTACAAGGATTATTTAGGTTAGTACGACCACCAATTTATTTTGTGTTTCATCTGTAGGGAAGGGAAGAATAAAAGCGGCCATTATTAATAGAATGCCAATGAATTGAATCTTTATTCTTCAGGAAGTAACTCCAACAATGCAGTGAGCTATGAGAAACATCAGAACAAGCATTTGGGCTGAGACAGGTGAGCTGAGTTTCACCACTGAATCCCAACTTTTGAATCCTATTTTTTGTGATTTGATGTTTTACTTTTTCTCATTTAGGTGACTGAAAGTTGGTTCCATTTTAGAGGACTGAAGAAACCAGTAACCGGTGACCATTATACTTGAACCCCAACCATCAAATCCAACAGAACTGCACAAGCCTTTCTCATCAGCTCAAACCAGAGATCGGTTCATATCTGGTGCTCTTTTTCTTAGGTGCTTAATGTGGAGTGACAGAAATGCAAAGCTAAAATTTCCTACCTCTTATAAAAGCCAAAAACAGACCACAGAAAGTATCAAAGAACTTATACAATAACATGTCTTATACATATGCCTACTTCGGGTTAAAAAAAAAAGCAGAATTAACTATATGTGAGTTGTGCTGAAGGAAGATACTTTGTGTGGTTTTTATGCTGCTGAGTCTGAACTCTTTTATTTTCACTTTAAACACCAAAAACAGCTAGTTAATGTATGCTGAATGCTCAGTTACTATGTCTGTGGATTTAAATTTTGGTACAGAAATGCTCCATAAAGGTTTAAAGGGGTCATAGGATGCTACATGCACTTTTACAAGTTGTTTGAACTGAAATGTGTGTAGGCACTGTGTTTACACAACCACCCTAAAGTGGTTTTTTTTAATCTACTAAAATCTTTACCCCTTTCTCAAATCGAGCCGATCTCAGATGCCTGTCTGTGTGACGTCACACAGACAAGCCCCTCCCATGATAGTTTGATTGACAGTAGCGTTTCAGCACAGACTGGACTGGTGTCTTACCTTAGACCCGCCCTGAGTGAGCTGTCATCAGGCCACCATTGTTTCACCGCCGGAGCAGATGTAGACAAGAATGATTCCTAATAAGTGATTGAGGTGTTCTGTTGTTGGATGTAATAGTGAACATAGCAGTCTTCATTTACTCCCGACATCTGAGCCGCTGAAGACGCAGTGGATTACGTTTGTTTTTGAAGGGAATGCTCCCAGATCTGCCTAAATGCTGTCTATGTTAGCGCAAATCAATAATGATCCAGCCTCATCTACAGAAGAAGTAAGTATAATGTATAATGTATAAAGACTTCCCTAATAATGTGCTAATTAGCAAGTTTCACAATGAATGCGGCTAAAGTAATCAGTCCCTCAGAGAGCGGCTTGGAAGAGAGGGGCGGGGTCAGCAGAGCTCATTAACATTTAAAGGAAAATGCTACAAAAATGCTTGATCTAAAAAGAGCTGTTTTTGACAGGGTAAAAAAAGGTGTTTTTACACTACCATTGAGAAATTTTAACCAAACTATGTTACAGACTTTTCATTAAGACCCTAAAGAATCATATCAACTTGTGGAAAATGGGCATCCTATGACCCCTTTAAATTCCATACCACCCAATTGTTTCTCCTTTGAAGTTTTTTATTTTTTCAAAAATCATGTGTTTAGGTGCTTGCTTCAACTACTTCACCAAGCAAGAGTTAAATTCCAGATGTGCTCTATTACTGCAAGTTATTTGTTTTTCATATGGTGCTCCAATCAATAACTGTGGTTGTTGTTTTTTACTCATTGTGCAGGTTTGTGTTTTACTCTACTGCTTTCTGATAAGCTATACCAGTCTGACAAGTGGGACAAACCACAATAAAGCTTTTAATAAAGCAAAACATTTGAAAATGGTGCTGCATTTACTGCCTTGTAATTCCAAATAAAACAGTTGACAAAAGTCTTCATTTACTCCCGACATCTGAGCCGCTGAAGACGCAGTGGATTACGTTTGTTTTTGAAGGGAATGCTCCCAGATCTGCCTAAATGCTGTCTATGTTAGCGCAAATCAATAATGATCCAGCCTCATCTACAGAAGAAGTAAGTATAATGTATAATGTATAAAGACTTCCCTAATAATGTGCTAATTAGCAAGTTTCACAATGAATGCGGCTAAAGTAATCAGTCCCTCAGAGAGCGGCTTGGAAGAGAGGGGCGGGGTCAGCAGAGCTCATTAACATTTAAAGGAAAATGCTACAAAAATGCTTGAGCTAAAAAGAGCTGTTTTTGACAGGGTAAAAAAAGGTGTTTTTACACTACCATTGAGAAATTTTAACCAAACTATGTTACAGACTTTTCATTAAGACCCTAAAGAATCATATCAACTTGTGGAAAATGGGCATCCTATGACCCCTTTAAATTCCATACCACCCAATTGTTTCTCCTTTGAAGTTTTTTATTTTTTCAAAAATCATGTGTTTAGGTGCTTGCTTCAACTACTTCACCAAGCAACAGTTAAATTCCAGATGTGCTCTATTACTGCAAGTTATTTGTTTTTCATATGGTGCTCCAATCAATAACTGTGGTTGTTGTTTTTTACTCATTGTGCAGGTTTGTGTTTTACTCTACTGCTTTCTGATAAGCTATACCAGTCTGACAAGTGGGACAAACCACAATAAAGCTTTTAATAAAGCAAAACATTTGAAAATGGTGCTGCATTTACTGCCTTGTAATTCCAAATAAAACAGTTGACAAAATATATCTATGTGTCATGTCCATGTGTATATTAACATGTTCTAAACATGGTACTGCGGGGTTTGATCTCAGCTAAAGAAAGAAATCTCCAGCAAATAATTATTTACAGAAGTTTAAAAATGTAAAAAAAAATCTTCTGTAATACCACTCATGAAACCACCTTTATTCAGTTATTGTGTTGTCATAGCCCTGTTGAAAAAACCAGCATATGCTGGTTAGGTACGTTTTGATGCTGGGATGCTGGTTTAAGCTGGTCCTTTGCTGATTTAAGCTGGTCCTTTGCTGGTTTATGTTGGTCCTTTGCTGGTTTAAACTGGTCTTTTGCTGGTTTATGCTGGTCCTTTGCCAGCACATGACCAGCATAAACCAGCAAAGGACCAGCTTAAATCAGCAAAGGACCAGCTTAATCCAGCAAAGGACCAGCATAAACCAGCAAAGGACCAGCTTAAATCAGCAAAGGACCAGCTTAATCCAGCAAAGGACCAGCATAAACCAGCAAAGGACCAGCTTAAATCAGCAAAGGACCAGCTTAATCCAGCAAAGGACCAGCATAAACCAGCAAAGGACCAGCTTAAATCAGCAAAGGACCAGCTTAATCCAGCAAAGGACCAGCATAAACCAGCAAAGGACCAGCTTAAATCAGCAAAGGACCAGCTTAATCCAGCAAAGGACCAGCATAAACCAGCAAAGGACCAGCTTAAATCAGCAAAGGACCAGCTTAATCCAGCAAAGGACCAGCATAAACCAGCAAAGGACCAGCTTAAACCAGCATCCCAGCGTCAAAACATACCTAACCAGCATATGCTGTTATTTTCAACAGGGACATTTATTAATTAGCCTACGTACGTACATTTAAACTTCACAGATTATCATGAAGGTTTTAATTAATGTACTTCTATTTCTAACCAAAGTTCAAAGAATTTACGGTTTTGTTGACTTAAGTCAAATCCCTTTAAAAAGTCTTTTTTAAGTAAGGCTGTACATGGGCAGTCTTGGAGCTTTTTTTTTTGAAGGAGCTTTAATGTTGAGACGTATTTGCGTAATAGTATTTTATATATATATCATTACCTCCCCTGGCACGTTTTGGTGAACTATTTTATTTTTTGTAGTTATTTTTTCCTTTTTCACCCTTATTTTTACTGTTTTGTAAATGGTTTAAATACTTTATACATACGTGTAATGTGTTATATTTGCAACTGAACAAGAAGTGTATAAAGTTAACGCTTCAATATCTTTACACACACGCGTAATTTTGATTCTAAATCTGATGTCCAGGATACCGAAAGGATGGCAGTGGCGAGGATGGACGGATCAGTGGAGGTTTTCCACTGTTCAGACAGATTTTTCCAAGAAAAGGTTCATTCAGTCATGTTTGGCAAATTGATGCTCATAAGACAACTCTGTCTTAGTATTGAGGACCAGATATATGTTGATAAAATGGTTTTTGATCAGCAGACAGTTTTTAAAGATGCTTATTTATGTTTCCCTTGTCCACAGATCATCCCTGGTAGAGAGCAGTGTGGGATTGAAGGCCTGTCCTGGGTTGGAGAGCGTCTGTTCAGTGCGGGACTAAACGGTGGAATAACTGAGTATGATTTGACAAACCAGAAAGCGAAATACACCATAGATGCGTATGGAGGGCCAATTTGGGCCATTGCAGGCAATCAGCAAGGAACACACTTAGCGGTAGGTTGGGTTCCAATAATGCTATGTGTACAGTAAAGCTTAATGTATGTATATCTGTCATTGTATTAGATAATGAAAAATTAATTTTAAAACACATTACATTTATTTTAAGGTAAGATAAGGCAAGCAAACACTTGTGAAAAAGAAGTATGCATAATTGTATTGAATGTCCACTTGTAGTGTACCTCAAATCTAAAAAATATATTAAAAAAGCTTTACTTGCATATTATATAATACTAATGAAATAAAAGGCCACTTAATGGTACTTAAAGAAAGTACACTTTTATGACTGTGTTTCTCTTATTAATCACTTAATTATCACTCGTCAAGTTCAACTGTTTGCATTTGAAGTCAATTTAAACTATAACATATTTTCATTTAATTGTAAATAAATATTACATTCAGCTCACACTTGAGTACATTCTTGTTAATTATATTATTCCTGTAGTAAGTGCTGTTTAAATGTGTGCTAAAGTGTACTTCATAAAAAGACGTTTGTTCAGTTTTTGTGTTTTTAACGTTTGTAGGTTGGTTGTGAAGATGGAACTGTGAAACTGTTTGAGGTGAATGAAGACAGCATACAGTTTGAGAGAAATCTGGACAGGCAAAAAAGTGAGATTGTGGTCATATTTGAAACTTTCATATGAATGTCATGATTTGTTATTGCGTTTAAAAAAAACATTTTAATCTGAACATCTGATTACCTGTTCCATAGGCCGCATCGTCTCTCTGTCTTGGCACCCATCAGGCTCCAAAATAGCAGCTGGAATGATGGATATGATCCAGGTTTTTAATATAGAGACAGGTAAACAGCGTCTTTCTTCCAGAATGTATTATTGTATTCAGTGATGTAGAATTAGTACATAAACTGGAATATATGAACGTAATCAAGTGTTTGATATGTTTTTCAGGCCACTCTTTGCACAGGATGCTGGCTGACAGAGGGGTCGGGACATCCCGCAGTAAGGAGTGTGTGGTGTGGAGTGTGGTCTACCTCTCAGATGGGACAATCATCACTGGTGACTCTGTGGGAATGGTCAAATTGTGGGATGATCAAACTGGTACACTAATCAAAAGCCATAATGTCACAAAATGTGATGTGTTGGCATTATCAGTCTCTCAGGTGAGAAGATTGCTGTGGGTTTGTGAGCAAATGTTATAGTTTCACCTTTATAACTTGATTCACTAATGCTCAAAACTTTGGGTAAACATTTTAATCTGACCATCTGATTACCTGTTCCATAGGCCGCATCGTCTCTCTGTCTTGGCACCCATCAGGCTCCAAAATAGCAGCTGGAATGATGGATATGATCCAGGTTTTTAATATAGAGACAGGTACACAGCGTCTTTCTTCCAGAATGTATTATTGTATTCAGTGATGTAGAATTAGTACATAAACTGGAATATATGAACGTAATCAAGTGTTTGATATGTTTTTCAGGCCACTCTTTGCACAGGATGCTGGCTGACAGAGGGGTCGGGACATCCCGCAGTAAGGAGTGTGTGGTGTGGAGTGTGGTCTACCTCTCAGATGGGACAATCATCACTGGTGACTCTGTGGGAATGGTCAAATTGTGGGATGATCAAACTGGTACACTAATCAAAAGCCATAATGTCACAAAATGTGATGTGTTGGCATTATCAGTCTCTCAGGTGAGAAGATTGCTGTGGGTTTGTGAGCAAATGTTATAGTTTCACCTTTATAACTTGATTCACTAATGCTCAAAACTTTGGGGTCAGTAAATGTTTTTTTTTTTTTTTTTAATTCTCACCAAGGTTGCTTATAAATACGTTCAAAATAAGTAAAAACTGTAATATTGTGAAATATTATTACAATTTAAAATGACACATTTCTTTTTTTTTTTTATATACTTAAAAATTTAATTTATTTTCTGTGACGGCAAAGCTGAATTTTCAGCAGCCATTACTCCAGTCTTCAGTGTCACATGATCCTTCAGAAATCATTCTATCATGTTGATATTTTTGTGGAAGCCATGATACATTGTTTCAAGATTATTCGATTAATAGAATGTTTTAAAAAACAGCATTTATTTGAAATATTAATGTTTTATAACATTAAAAATCTTTACTGCCAACTTTAATGCATCCTTGCTAAATAAACGTGTTAATTTATTTTTTAAAAATGAAATCCCCCAAACTTTTGAATCCCCCTTAAATCTTTCTCTTAAAAAACTACATGACATATTATAACAATACGAACAGGATAACATCTTATTGTACCCTCTTGAATGACAGAATGAGGACAGCCTTGTTGCCGGGACATCAGAAGGAATTGTGGTACAGTTCCAGTTCGTCTCTATGGTTTTGGAAAAGGATGACAAAGAATGGGTCAGAACCAGAACATTTAGGAACCACACGCATGACATCAGAGCTGTGGCGGAGATCACGACGGCTGTGGTTTCAGGAGGTGAGCTGCCTCCATCACACAATTCATCATATGACTGAAGTATTTTTGTTTAAAATAGTTTAAAAGAGCATTCTCGTCTCAGGTATGGATGCACAGCTGGTTGTGAGACCTTTATTAGACAAGATCGAAGAGAGGTCAGCGGCCTCGGCTTTGAGGAAGATTCACTTTCCACATGTGAGTATTGTGAAATTGTGACTTTCACATAGACAACATGTTTGTAATTGATTCTTAATGAGAGGGATGTGTTCTGCTCTGTTGCATTGCAGAGGAGACTGGTGTCCTGTGCAAGGAAGTCAGGTCTGATGCTTTTCCAGTACCCTGGTCATCTGGAGCTCTGGAGACTGGGAGAGAGTGAAGGAAAAGGTGAGGATGATATTTAGTGTGATCCTTGATATAGAATAGCTGTTTGGACACTCCTAATCTTTCTTTGCAATTAGTACTGCTCACATTTTAGAAGAATAGTAAAGTAATCAGAAGCTATGAAATGGCATAGATGGAAATAAGGAAATTGTTAAAATTTTAAGTAGCTGTTTTCAACATTCAAAATAATAATAAATGTTTCTTAAGCACCAAATCAGCGTATTAGATTGATTTCTGAAGGGTCATGTGACACTGAAGACTGGAGTAATGACTGATGAAAGTTCATCAGAGGAACAAATGCTATTTTAAAATATATTAAAATAGTTATTTTAATAATATTTCACATTATTACTGTTTTTGCTGTAATTTTGTCCAATAAATGCAGCCTTGGCTAATTTTTAGCTTTGTCTTTCTCGCAACTGTCTTCATGAGGTGTATTCTGGGAAGCTTTTATACAGTATTCCCATACAAACATTTTTATTTCTGGTCAAACTCATGTTGGAATGTTTTATAAAACTAATATCAAGCAGAAATATTTTAAATAATTAGAAACAAGTTTAGTCAAGTGTCTCCAGACTTTTGACTGATAACACATGGAATCATTTCTAGAGTTGACTTTAGTATGAAAGGTCAAAATTTATTTTGTTAACTATTGGTCTTCTGTTTTCAGGCATACCAGGAAGCAGTTTATTTGTAAAAAGAAATCCAGAGAAGCTGCTTCATTTGAAAGTGAAGGTACAATGCTTGTTTTGAAAATCAATGCATTTTTTAAGGCACAATGTAAATATTTTTTTAACATTAAAATTGATTAGAATGATTTCACAAAATACCCATATCGAATAATCATCTGTATAATTTGATGCTGTATGTGGTGAGCGTTGTGACATCCATAGTTCTGCTGAAATGAATGAAATGCTGTTTATCTGCAGGGTGAGGATCACATCCGCTGCAGTGCCGTGTCTCCCTGTGGAGAATGGATTGTGTACTCCACAGCCAGCACTCTACGGCTCTACAGGCTACACTGTGACAATAACAACATCAGCATCACCAAGGTACTGTAGATTTCTACAGAGCTGCATGAAAACGCATTACATGGCCCTGAAGCTTGCTAAAGAAATGCATAATTCTCATTGCAATTTGAAGAATCCGATGATCTCAGATAAAGGGCCCATTAAAACTTTTTTTTTTCTTTTAGATATCCAAACTTCCAAAGGTACTCAGCTCAGCCAGTCAGCTTTGCTTCTCCTCAGACTCCTCCCATTTGTTTTCCGCCTCTGCACAGTCATCAGTGCACTTAGTTTCTATCAGCCAATCAGGATGCAAGTTTGTGGGCACCCTTAAACCTAAGTCAGGTGAGAGGACTATAGGGTTTCTTGTCTAGGCTGGTGTGAAAATGTTAGTTTTATAATTAATACTTTATTTTCTAAGGATGCATTAAGTGGATTGAAAATGACAAAGGCATTTATAATTTTATAAAAGATTAATATTTCAAATAAATGCTGTTCTTTTGAAATTTTATTCATCCACTAATCCTGAAAAATAAAAAAAACGTATGGATGTAACAAGTTTGTCCTCCTCCAGATTCCCATCAGGCCATTCACTTATTAGCAGCCAGCGAGGATGGCAAATGGGTGGCTTCCGCAAACAGTGACCACGAGGTTCACATCTACAACCTGCAGACACGGAAGGTGCATTTTATGACCACAGTGTTTGTATACACTTGTAGATACATTTGACAGAAGATGGATGATTAACGTTGACCTATGTTTCAGGCTCATTGCACAGTTCCTGTATACAGTTCTGCTGTCACCGCCATGGGCATTCACCCAGCAACAAACTGTGTGTTCATGATGCATGCAGATCAACAGGTAAGCACTGAGCTGTTATGACAACCTCCATTGAATAGTGAAAGTGTGACATGAAGTGGGTTTGATTTGTATTTCTTGGTCTCATGTGTTTTTGTTCACCACAGATGTTTGAGTATTCCATAGAGCAGAAACAGTACACGGATTGGAGCAGAACGGTGCAGAGGAAGGGCCTTCATCGCCTCTGGGTGGAAAGAGACACACCATGTCTCAATGTGATGTTCAGTCCCCAAAATCCTTCCCATGTCATCCTGCATGATATGTACATGCTCTGCATCATTGACCAAAGCCTGGTGAGACAGACTCGTATTCAGAAAGCATTTGCTACTCTTATTGAAGACAAATAATCAAAAAGTGCTATTATTTTTTTTCACAAAATTGTTTTAATTTCTTTTTCTTTTTCTTTTCTATTTTATTATAGTTATTTATTATATCTGAAATGTCATCTATCTTTACAAAGTTGAGAGCCTAATATTTCTAATATTGGTAGATTTATGTATATATATATATATATATATATATATATATATATGTTTGTTATTTCAGTTGCCTGCACCCATCAAACAAAAGAAATTTGCCACATAAGGATAAACCTCTCCATCTGTATGTGTGTGGCCTCAGTGAGGAAGTGTGTTTTATTAAGAGACTGCAAATTGTTCCTTGTTTCCCCCAATGTAAAAACTGCTGAGACAGTATTAAAAATAAATATTTACTGTACCTGCTGTGTTGGTCTTTTGTCTAGAATTAAGTTTGATATCTTCAGGTACTTTCTAATATTGTTATTGTTAACAATAAGAAGTCTTGAGTAATTGAAACAAAGCTGAAATAATATGAACATTATTAAATAAAGGAAAAGAAAAACTTATTAGAAATAAAAATGAGAAATGTTGCCTTTGCATCTAAGGAAGAAGTTTAAGCTGAAGTACTATAATTACTTAAAGAATAAAACTAATAAACAGTAAAGTTATATAGAAATAAATATTTGTAAAAACTTGAAAATGACAAAAGCACGTGACAAAAATGAAAATACAATATAAAAGCAAATGCAAATATTTCTAAATACTGCAATGATATACAGTATAAACAATACTGAAATAACACGGTATAAGTATTAAATTATTACCTTATTCACATATCATTGTAACAATACAGAATGTAAGGTATTTCAAAGATTTCAACGGCAGGGGAAAAGAACAAAAATAGTTATAAGCAATATAGCCACTTTTTCTTATTTCTGTTGTAATTAATATGTATGCCTATTTTCTGAATGTTTGCCTTATTGTTATATTTATTATATTTTAGTTCCTAATTAAGGTCTGTGGTTACCATTACTTGAAGAGGCTTTTTCAAGAAAACATTTTTTTTTCTTTTTTTATAATTTTTTTCCCTATCATAATACAGGCTGTATTTCTTTGTTTGTTTAACAGTCTATGGTTAACAGCTCTGTTTACATCTCCTCCTTTTATTTTGAAAACGCAGTAATTACGTCACTAGAGCAGCTTGTTGCGGACTCGCGCGATAGTTTTGGCAGGATGGCCGCCTCTGTAAGTGACAGCAGTCAGAGACCGCTGCAGAATGCCATGAAACTTGTCAAATTGGCAATTCAGCTAGATACCGGCAACAGACACAAGGTACAGATGTTTAAATCTTTAAACCTGCCCTGTTAGGTCCAGATATGATCATATGTATCTAATAAATGCACGCGAGAGAGGTAATTTATCAGCGTAAACACGGATCGAAGCCGATGATCATCATGAGAGAACCCCAATGATTCTCCCCGAAAAACTACTGCGGTCCAGTCGATCGGGATCCAGTGATATGGAGTGTTTACCTTTTGATCTTAACTAAATGTTCCTGTTTCCTAATCTTCTGAAATTAGAGTGTGTTTAAAGATTAATCAGTGTTAGTTTGAGTTTATGTTGTGAAAATACACATTCTCAGTCCAGATGTAGATCATATATTTAGATGGTACATCATGTTGTGTCTGATTTTTTTATTTTTTTTTGTGAATGGTTGTGGCAATTCAAGAGACACCAGAAGAGGACATCTAGCAAAGACTTTAACATAACTTTAAGGCACTGTGTTGCAGAGCACATCCAATAAAATCTTCCTGCCACTTAGATCAAATATTTAGATGGTACATCATGTTGTGTCTGATTTTATTTTATTTTTTTTGTGAATGGTTGTGGCAGTTCAAGAGACACCAGAAGAGGACATCTAGCAAAGACTTTAACATAACTTTAAGGCACTGTGTTGCAGAGCACATCCAATAAAATCTTCCTGCCACCCACTATGATTATTTATATCCCTTTATAGGAGGCGTACTGTGAATACTTGAGAAGTATCAGCTACATCTCTCACGCTTTGCTTGAAGATGCCACATCTAAACGTAAGTTATTCATACTTAATTAAGAAACGAGTTAGTTTTCCAATTAGACATCCTTCAAACTTTCTATTCAAATGTGATGTGGGCTTTCAGGCTTCAAAGGTTATTTCACAATGCATTTTATTTCCTCTGCATTAGTCATTGTCATGTGGTGTATACTGGCTTCCTATTTCAAGAGAGAACTTTTAAGGAAGAGATTGTATGTGCTAATGTGTCACACAGATTTGTGTGCTTCATCATGACATCACAATTCATTTTACTGATAAGACACAAAAGGTTCAAATGTATCTTAACTTCTGTAGATTGCATTAAATGATTTTTAAAGCTCTAATTAGATCAGGCTAGATCTAATCTTTGTTCATAATGAACTTTTCAGGCTTATTTAAAGTTTGTCTGGTTGATTAGGCAGGAGTAACTCCACCGTCAGATCATAGCTTTGAAGTTCTGTTCTCATGGGCTGAATGAGACATATGACTCTTATGCACTTCTTCTGACAGAGATGGAGTCGGTGGAATTAGAGAAAATGGTGAAACTAGTTGAGCAATGTTTAGAGAGGATTAAATCATGCATCATAAGAAAGCGAGAGTCCCCAACACCCGTCATCTCCTCCACTCCTCTGTCCGCTTCCCAGCAGACCACCATTCCTGCTATTAATGTGACAAATCATCCCAAAATGACAGGTGAGCCTTGATTTTCTTTGTTCAGGGTTTTCAGTCAGAGTGTCTGTGAAGTTTCTTACAGTTAAAACAGAACAAACATGCATTTTATTCTGGGACTAGGCTTAAGCCTTGTCTGTGAAACCCGGGGGGTAATGTATTAAACATATAGACATTTCTTAGAAAATATTATTTATGCACTACTATTTAAAAGTTTGGAATAATTAAGATTTTCTAATGGTTTGAACAAAGTCACTTATGCTCACCAAGGCTGCATTTATTTGATCAAAATACAGTAAAAAAAAAAAAACTAATGTTGTGAAATATTATTACAATTTCAAATAACAGTTTTTATTTTAATAGATTTTAAAATGTAAATTATTCTTGTGATGACAAAGCTGAATTTTCAGCAGTCTTCATTGTCACATGATCATTCAGAAATCATTTTAATATGCTAAGTTGGTGCTCAATTATTATTGGTGCTTAATTATTAATAATGGTTCTTAGTATTATGAGTGTTGGAAACAGTTTTTATTGCTTAATATTTTTGTGAAAACCGTGATACTTTTTTTTCAGGAATCTTTGATGAATAGCATTTATTTGAAACAGAAATCTTTTGTAACATTATAAATGTCTTACTGTCAGTTTGGAACAATTTAATGCACCCCTGCAGGATAAAATTATTAATTATTGAATTTTTTAAAAATCTTTCCCACCTTTAACTTTTGAATGATAGTGTATCTCAGTTAGGGCTGTGCAAAAAAGAGAATGCGACTACTGACGAGATTCGCATGAAAATCGCATTCGATTTTTTTACCCAGCCCTAATCTCAGTTTAAACAAAACTCATCTTTCTGTAGAAACACCTAATGCAGCTGCATTGGTTTCTGAGACCCAAAGTAGACAGCAGCCCACCAGACATCGCAGAGTCCTCTCTGAGGGAGGGAAGACCGACTCCCCCTTCCTGCCACCTGAAGTCTTCCAGAAGCTTCAGTCAATGGAATCACAAGACAACCGAAAGTAAGCCAGTGAGCTATTGAGAGTTTCATAACCACTGTGTGCATAACAGCATGTGGGGGAACCTACAAAATGATGGGTACAGAGTCCCAATATCCATTGATCGTTCACATCTGGTTCCCAAAGATATAGTATGATATACAAAGACATACAAGATAACAAACAAAAACAAGATTAAATAACACTGAAAACTATACATTACTATTATATAATTCTAAAGGCTAATAAATAGTGTTTCATAAATTGTCTCACCATCTCAGAGCTCTACATTAAATAAAGGTGTTGTAATTCACTGTAACTTTCTCCGTAATGAATGCCCCAGTTTTATTAAATTAGATTCTCCAAGAACATAATGCTTGGTTTTACAAGAGACAGAACAGCCTCTGTCAGATACTTGAAAACTGTATATGATGGTTCATTTTAAATAGATGGCATTCAAAAAAAGTTATTTAAGAAAGCATAAAAGCAATAATGTCAACCAGATTGTTTTTCATCTGGATGATGCCTCTGTAAGAAAAAGAGACCAAGACAAAAAAAGTGCAAGCTTTTGTTTAAAATGTAAATAATTATTATAAATAATTTATCATTTAAATAATCTCTATTTTGTTAGCTGCTGTCCAGAACCTTTAACATATGGTTGTTCATCAGTCTTTTTTTTTTTTTTTTTTAAATAATGGTTCACATGATGCCCCACGTTTCACAAAATTAGTTATGTGCACTTCCACTGACCCCGACAATTGATCTTTCAAGGCTATCAGCTCTTCTGCATCCATATGAAGGAAGTTAATAGGACATCATGTTCTTCTAGTCTCACTGTCCCTAATGTACAGTATGTACACAGTAATAGGTTTTGTATGTGCATGACAGGGAATTAACGCCTATTGAAGAAGCATCACGTCTCAACCAGAAACTTAAGGCTAATTATGAGGCTCGGCTGGCAAGACTTACCCCTGGTCAGGCCACACAAAAAACTTCATTGGTAAGTCTGGGGGGAAAAAATTGTATGCTTATGTGTGTGTCTAGGAAATTAATAAATATATGCAGCGAGAGCCCTAAAAACATAAGGTTCTTGAGTCTGTTTGTTTTATTAGCATTCTGCTGTACTTTTTTACATTTCCCGTTTTTTCCATATTTATCTCCATAATTTTTTTATTTGTATTTGTATTTATTTTTCTGCTTTTTTTTCATTTGTAAACAAATTCTGAAGAAAAAAGTATTTGGCAAAAAAATTTAAATGAATAAATAACAACGAAGAGGGAAAAAATTAATTAAATAGACCCAGAAAGGCAATGAAAATATTTCACTTTGGGATTATATCCACCTTGTGGTTCCAAACGTTCATAATATATATAAAATTGTATATATGTGTGGAAAATCCATCGTCTGATTGTTTTATTAGCATTCTGCTGTACTTTTTTACATTTCCCGTTTTTTCCATATTTATCTCCATAATTTTTTATTTGTATTTGTATTTATTTTTCTGCTTTTTTTTTTCATTTGTAAACAAATTCTGAAGAAAAAAGTATTTGGCAAAAAAATTTAAATGAATAAATAACAACGAAGAGGAAAAAAATTAATTAGACCCAGAAAGGCAATGAAAATATTTCACTTTGTGATTATATCCACCTTGTGGTTCCAAACGTTCATAATATATATAAAATTGTATATATGTGTGGAAAATCCATAAACAATGAACTTACTCTTTGACCCGATTGCAGTTGTTTACGCACATGGTTTGTTACTTTATTGCGCGCATGCGTGGAACACATGTGACGCCACACCTCCTGGTTTAAATGGCTTTGCGCGATTCACTGAACTAACATGTCCGTGTGGAGCGACGCCTGCAGTGGTTTTGGATCAGAGCGATAGATTGCCGCACGCAGACCAATACAATTCATATTTAATCATAAGGTCGCTATCGCAATACTATCGTAGTTTTAATGAGCAATATCGCATTTACTTACACGGTATAAGTTCTTTCGTTTAAGTTTTGGTGGCGGGTCAAACTTAATGTTGTTCGGTGGGACACACACAGTGTGTGCTGTTCAGTTCTCAAGAATGATCCGGAGACGCAGAGAAACACCGATGGATATCCGTTTATACTGGAAAAAAATCAAGACATTCTGGAAGGTTCGTTTTGACTTATTGTATTATAATTTGCGTGGCGACAAAGTAAGATATCTGATGCTTCTCAAACGATTTACATATTCAATTATCTTGTGGTTTGGGGGGAAATCGTGTACATTTAAATGCAAACTTACTGTACTTGGTATGCTATGTATGCTAAAATGTTTCCGTTAATCACAATGAATCTTTGCCATATGAAAATCCAGTGCGTAAAATGACATGAAAATATTGAAAGTTTGAAAGTTGGCTGCTGTGACATGGCCCATCTAAAAGTATTTGAATCTGCATTTGACTAATTCTGCATTATGCATGCGACTTTTTAACTTAATTTTGATTGATGCACTACTTTTTGTATTTTTGAAAGCTCATTTGACACTACAGGATGTGATATATTTGATAATTACAGTAATAAACGTAATATTGTAAAATATTATTATAACTTAAAATGACTCCTGTTTTAAGATTTTTAAAACATTTTATTTCCTGTGATGCAAAACTGAATTTTTTAGCATCATTACTCCAGTCTTCAGTTTCACATGATCCTTCAGAAATCATTCTAAGATACTGATTTGGTGCCTAAGAAACATTTCTTATTATCGTCATTGTAGTAAAAAGTAGTGCAGCTTAATATTTTTGTGGAAAGGGTTTTTTTCCCCCCCAAGATTCTTTGATGAATAGAACAGCATTTATTTGAAACAAGTCGTTTGTAACACTATAAATGTCTTTACTGTCACTTTTGATCAGTGTAATGCATCCTTGCTGTATAAGAGTGTTAATTTCTTTCAACAAAAATTCGTTCTGACTGAACATTAGTGTATGTACATAAATGTATAAATAATGATTTTATTGGTTTATTCATAGGAATGGCCAAAAATTTGGAAAGCTAATCTGAAAAAGAATCCAAATGATCCAACGTTGGTTTCAGGTCTTATCTCATGTCTTCTCAGGTAGGTTCATGTTGTCAGATCATCTTCAAGCAGAAGTGTTTCTTCCGTGTCTTATGTCATGTGTTTCTTTTCTTTCCCGATCCCAGCTACCCAGACCACCCAGTCATGAAGTTGCTGAAGAGGCTTCAGTATCGGGTGTATAACAGACTGTATCCTATAGTGAGCCAGTGTGTTCCTCTGAGCACAGCGCCTGGTCACTCACTAGTACCCTTAAAGCCCTCCCGCAGTGCCCAAAGCCTGCTCCTGTCCGACAGTCCTATCTCTCCACAGCAGCAGCAGAGCCCGCTCAAATCTGCTATGACACACAGTTTATCTGACGCCTCCATTTCTTTTTCCCCATCCCACGACCTCAATGCCAACAACACAAAGTCTGAGACAGACTCGGATGAGTTCTCAACTCTGGTCTCTACAGATAGGGAGAACTCTTTTGAGGATCTAGAGAAGTTTCTTACTCAGCTGGACTGGGTTCCTTCTCACAGTGGTGATGATACAGACTCTGATGTGACCTTCGACACAACACACATAGACCTAGAGTCTCATGTTCATCATCTTGAGGATCGTGCTTTGAAGGAACATTTGAAGGCCATCATCAAAGACATCCACATTTCTATTGGTAAATAAATGTCTGTTCTTGTGTGATTGGGACCTTAGTTGTGACTCTAGAAATGTGCAGCATGTGAGTTCAGCATTTTTAGAAATCCCGTTATAGCCAGTGGGATCTGTATGGTTGTATCATGTTTATACTGCGTCAGGGTGTAACCAACGCCTAAGCATCATAATCCACCATAAACATGTTTGTAAAAAGGTCCTTTCATGAAATGGAGTAGTTGGCTGATTGTCTGGTAAATGGATGTATCTTTGTGTAAAACAGATCGCCTGCTGTCTCTGTGTCTTCTGTCCTTTGAATGTCTCAACACTGCAAATTCTAAGGACCAATGCGTGGCGAGTATAGAGGAAGTCTTCTTCACCCCTATTTGGTGCCCTCTGTCAGCACTTTTTAGGTAGGTCACAAGATACATTTTTAAAAACATATACCACCGTTCAAAAGTTAGGTCAATGAGTGGTGTGTTTTTTTTTTTTTCACCAAATCTGATTTACTTGATTATATACAGTAGTATAGTCTTATAACAATTTAAAATGTAATTTATTTCTGTGATGGCAAAGCTGAATTTTCAGGAGCCATTAATCCAGTCTTCAATGTCACATGATCCTTCAGAAATCATTCTAATATGCAGATTTGCTGCTCAAGAAACCTTTCTTTTCAAATTTGAAAATGGTTGTGCTGCTTAATATTTTTGTGGAAACTGCTTTTCCAGGAATTCTTTTATGAATAGATGAATAACATTTATTTAAAATATGTCTTTAAAAATGTCTTTACTGTTACTATTGATCAATGTAATGTATCCTTTCTTAATAAAAGTATTAATTTCTAACTTATTTAATGAATAGTGTATAATAAGAATTAGGTTAATCCCCTGTTGCACAGATTTGGATATAACATATTTTTAAAATACATTTTTCAATTGTACTTATGTGAAGTAAATACTTTATTTTAATTAAATAAATACAAAAAAAATGTTTTTTCCTTATTCAAAATCTAGAATATTCAAATTACTACTTTAAATGGCAGATTACGGAGTCATATGAATTGTCTAGATGCTGAGCAGTAGATGGCACTATTAATCTAACATTCAGTAGTCCCAGTATGACTGAAAATAACCATCTTCCCTTACAACTGCTCCCAAAATGCTCTTAGTCATCAAAGCACTTTCATAGAAGCTGTATGGTTTAGATAATTGCATATAAATGATTTATTTGTTCTTTGTGTTGCGGTGATGCTTTAGGAAGGTGTATCGAGAACGGGAGATGGCTGTTGAGGGCAGCATGCGTTTTCATCGTAATGTGTCACCTGATGATGCGGTTGTGCTGCTGAATATTTTTGTGGAAACTGCTTTTCCAGGAATTCTTTTATGAATAGATGAATAACATTTATTTAAAATATGTCTTTAAAAATGTCTTTACTGTTACTATTGATCAATGTAATGTATCCTTTCTTAATAAAAGTATTAATTTCTAACTTATTTAATGAATAGTATATAATAAGAATTAGGTTAATCCCCTGTTGCACAGATTTGGATATAACATATTTTTAAAATACATTTTTCAATTGTACTTATGTGAAGTAAATACTTTATTTTAATAAAATAAATACAAAAAAAAGTTTTTTCCTTATTCAAAATCTAGAATATTCAAATTACTACTTTAAATGGCAGATTACGGAGTCATATGAATTGTCTAGATGCTGAGCAGTAGATGGCACTATTAATCTAACATTCAGTAGTCCCAGTATGACTGAAAATAACCATCTTCCCTTACAACTGCTCCCAAAATGCTCTTAGTTATCAAAGCACTTTCATAGAAGCTGTATGGTTTAGATAATTGCATATAAATGATTTATTTGTTCTTTGTGTTGCGGTGATGCTTTAGGAAGGTATATCGAGAACGGGAGATGGCTGTTGAGGGCAGCATGCGTTTTCATCGTAATGTGTCACCTGATGATGTTGGTGTACCATCCAAACTGTTCCCCAGAGACCCAGCTGTGCTGCACGGTTCCTACCCATACGAGTCAGCGGTGCAGGAGCTGAAGCTTCTGTATAGAGACTATTGTCCTCAGAAGAAACTGGAGTGTATCGGTAAGATCTTACTGTAAATTGAAACCACAAACCCTTTCAGTGTGTCGCTTTGGTGTCTAAATGGAATTGCAAAAATAAAATGTTTTCCAACAGGTTTACCAAACACACTCCCCATCTGATCTGACAAACTGATAGCCGTGCCCTTTTTTAAAAAAGATGAAATCAGCCTGCAAATTGCTCACTTCTAGCTGTTTCTGTATATTAAGTTGGGATAGGAGAACCTATTGTAAAATTTTAGAACTTAATTTCTACCACCTAAGAATCATGCTTTGATTATCATAATTATGAATTTAAAGTCTGTGTAAAGCAATATTAAATGTGTTCTGAGTTTCACACTACAGAAAAATGTGTTATTAACAACCCAGCCAAATTTGAATGATAAAAAAGCCAAGTAAATAAAATAAGTTACCACAATCTTGAAAAAATAAGGCGTATTCTTTGCTCTCAAACGCTGGGGGTGTGTCCACTCTCAGCACTGAAACCACACCCACTCGTAGGAAAGCTGCCACCACCTGAATGGAGCATTTGAATTGGATTTACATAGCCATACAACAGGTAACTTGCATTTACTTGACGAAGGCATGGCTAGCTAACAAACTGTAGTAACTAACGGTAATGACAGTAACTCGCGATTGAGCGGGCGAACCACTGATGCTAATGCGCTCTAGTTATTATTGTGTTAGGGGAGGGGCCATGTTCAGTGGCTCCAGTGCATCTTCGAGACATGATTTCAGGCTCGCCCAAAAAAATCCTGGACACAGAAATGGTGAAAAACTGTTTTAATGGTCTAAACCTAGTTCACAGTCTTTGTAACCTGTTTTCAGCATTACATTTCTAACATTTATGTGTTTAGAAACAATTCTCTGAATTGCCTTTACACGGACTTTAAAAGCCATAATTGTGACTAGTAAGTCATATTTATGAGATTTTTGTAAAAGACAAAATAAAAAAAATCTGTCAAATATTCGACATAGTAATATTTGTAGACTTTGTCATAATTCAACTTATAATTATGAGATTCTAAATTAATATACTAAGTCATACTTATGAGATAAAGTTATGACTAATACTGACTTGATCTTATAATTTACTTATGTCATGATTATTACGTCATAAAATCATGCTTTGCTAAATCTTGTTTTTTGCTTTACCTCTCTCTCTACCCCTCTCCCTCTCTCCCCCTCCCCCCCTCCCTCTCCCTCTCCCTAGTGGTTCAGTGAAGACAGACGTCAGTGAGTTATAGATAGGTAGATTTGTATTGATTTTGACAATGATTTTGTTATCTTTTCCATACATTAAGCAGTTTTATAAAATTTTTATATTATTATATTAAAGAATAACTTTGAGCTCTAAACATGTGGCAGAAATGGGTTTCTACCATAAAGAGTGCATATTATGTACCCTTTATATTATGTACTCTTACAGTTTGAGCATGTCTAAAAGTTAACAATGCCTAAAACCTGATTGAGCATCTTGATTGAATCCAAACGTTACCAGTAATGTCCGGTCACATTTTTTGACTGCAGTTGTTTTTCATTGCAGTGAGAACTCTACGAATCATCTGTGGCTGTGCTGAAGAGTACCGCCTCCTGCAAGAAAATGATCCTCCACCCAAATCAGCAGCAATGTGAGTATACATAAGTTTTATAAAAGCCGTTGTGTTGCTGTGAAGCTCCATCCTTTTTGCTTTCCTTTTCAAAAAAAAGTAGATAGAGACATGAAGGATCTCCTGCTTGCGGTGGCCTTGTGTCAGACTTCATCAGACCTCACAGAGGCCAAAGCTAACCCTCTGGCCCCCACGGGGCGCTCGGAGCTGACTTCCTCTCTAAGTGGGTCGCCTAAAATTTGGGCTTTTAGGGAGGAACGAAAGCGCACAACTTTGAAGGAAGGTGTGCAAGCATGAATGCGGCACAGTAATCGTTTACTTCAATTATCTTGATTTAATTGTTGGAAGCCAAAATTGAAAATGAAAATAAAAATCTATGAATCGCATTGCCCTAAATTTTAGTTTAAATATATTGATTTAATAATAGTAATATTTGTTGTTGTTTAAAATGACTTAATTTCTGCAGTTAAATAGTAAAATTATATTTGAATATTTTTTTTATATTTATTAATTTACGTTGTTAATCATTTAAATAGTATACAGTTATTTAATTTACTGAATTATCAATATAGTCTAGTTAAAGGTTTTTTTTTGTTGTTTTTTTTGAAAGGCGTATTATATAATTACGATTTTGCAATTAGATGGTTTGGTCATACTGCCCATCCCTAATTTTCGTATGTTTGTTGATTCTTACCAGAACAATGTACTGTTGCTTTCCAAATCCAACGGTTTTGGTTCGTTAGCATTATTTGGCTGTTTTCAATTCTGTGCTTGAACTTTGGTTTAAAAATTATTATGCTATAAAGGCATCAGCGATCCGAAAGGAAATGTGTCATTGTGAGACTTGTCCTGATTTTGCCCTGGTAGCACAGCCAAGGCGCATTCTGCCTTTGTTTTGCCTTTAAGTTTGTGTTTGGTTGTGAGGGAGAATGACTGTTCTCATGCATGCATGAACATGAACAATTGAGCCATTCTCACCCTTTTTTTGGTTGTTCTGTTCCATTGTCTCTCCTCTTTCTCACTCGCTCACTTTCTTCTTCTTTCTGGATTACGTTCACTCATACTTAAATTTATATTGCTGTTTCCTTCTGCACAGCAGTCATTTCCTCTGTCTGTACATCTTTGTATTATTCTTTTGTCTTTTCTCTAGAGGGGGTATATTGGTCTATAATACATCTTTTTTTCATTTCTAACAATGCTCATGCACTTGTTCTTTTTTTTTTGCTCCAGCAAATTTCATTACCATCATCACCCTTCAAGTTCACATTGCTAAACTCTATCAAATTTGGCCCTCGCTGAAAAAAAAAAAGCTGTTGAACAAATGCTCCGATTTTGCCGTAATTTGACAAACAGGCTTGAACAAGCTAACAGCCGCGTCATCCCAGCACGCCTTTGCTGTGCATGAGCGTTATTTTGATAGCAGCAGAAACGGTGTTGGAACTGCAATGGTATGCAGAGCTATTCTCACCTGTATGAAACATATCGGGTGTCCTGCAGTCCGGCAGGAAAGGGGACACCCAGCTATGTTCTCACGCAAACGTCCCTCCAACGCACGAATCCAGGGGTTTATGTGTTCTTTCTCAGAATAGCTTATTCTGCAAAGAAATTGAATTTAGTTGGATTGTTTTACCTCATCACATCATTTCTTAATTCCTCCCATTTTGTCTTCCTCAGAGGTGCTGATGACCTGTTGCCCATCTTGGCGTTCGTGGCTTTACGCAGTGAAATGCCTCAGCTGGTGTCTGAATGTGCTGCGTTGGAAGAATTCATTCACGAGGGGTGCGTTTTCAATATAAAATACTGTGTAATTTTTCTATTCTCCACGGTTATTTATGAACTAAAAATGAACTGAGCATGCTGTACCACAGAAAATTCTGTAGAATGGAGAGAAGGCCCACACTCTTCTATGCACGTGCCTCCCACCAGGGCATGTCTTATGGCACTCTTTCGTAAAGTCAGTCTTGTTTTAGATTTAGATGTTATAAAGAATGGCGTGACCAGTAAGTAACCACAGAAGGGGTAATGGGAAGATGCTTTATGCCATACACTACCGTTAAAAAGTTTGTGGTTGGTAAGATTGTTTTTAAATGCTTTTGAAAGAAGTCACTTATGCTCATCAAGGCTGCATTTATTTAATCAAACATACAGTTAAACAGTGATATTGTGAAATAATAATAATATTATCATTAAAAAACTTTCTATTTTAATATTCTGAAATGTTATTTAGTGTAATTATTCCAGTCTTCAGTGTTATATGATCCATCAGAAAATCATTCTAATATGCTGATTTGGAGAAAACAGTGCTGCTTAATTTTTGTGGAAACCATGATACTTTTGAATGTAGTTTGTGTATACAGTTCTTGCCATGAAAATGGCTTTAGATGTAGCATGAAAGTGTCAAATAAATAAGCAAACACAAAAATTGTAAAAGATTGTCCAGTTGATACCTATATTGCTGTGAGTTAAATGTTAGTGTTATAATGGGTTAAAAGTTACATTTATAGCCTGATTAAATATTATGCAATAGAAAATGTCATCTCAGACAGTCTCTTAAACCGATTGACAGTCTGTCAAATTTTTGGCATCAGATGTTGATAATGGTGGGATAGATGATGCTGTTTGGAAATTTGGCTTGGCATATTTTTTTAAGTGCCAGTCTCTCTGTCGTTTGGGCATGTATCAAGTTTTGACAGAGCATGATCTCACTTGCTACCAATAATTGAAAATGTCATCTATTGCACTGTCTCAGAATTTGTGCATGAATATTTCAGCTAGAAAAATACCCTCCAGTCTAAACATGTTGGAATAAACCCATAAAACAAATATTACAGTTCTTATCGGTAATATGAGTCCGCCTTTGATGCCATCTTTCATGTTTATATACATTTTTGGAGCGGAGGATATCACATCAGTGAGATCTCGGTTCATTTAGGTGACCGTTTGACCTGTTTCCTGAGCGGTGTTGTGGGTATTCATGTCACCCCTCCTGTGCTGTACTCTTGCATGTCTACTCAGACCACAGCCCTGAGCTCTGTTTATCAGTATAAAACTGGACATTTTTACAGGCTGGTTAAATTGGCAATTACCAAGGAATGTTGGGGATATTCTGGTTTGGGTTTTTTCTTTCCCTATAAAAATACAAATAAAATCTCTAGATGTTTGTTTCTTGGTGGCTTGGAACTAAGGGTGGAACTCTGCAGCGTGTGAGGAAGGTTGTGATAGGAAGTATATTCATTCTCGGGCACAGTTGACAGGTTTTGTTTAATTAGGACCATCTAAGACTGATTTAAAGTGATAGTTTGCCAAAAAAATAGACTATTTTTTCATTGTGTCATTTCAAACTTGTTTGCTGTTATTTTTGACATTGAACACAAAATTAAACTTGTTGTAGTGTCTATCAAGCTCAAAAAAGGATCTAAACGTATCTGTAGAGTGTACATGCACTCACCCTCAGACCATCCAAGATGTAGAAGTTTGTTTCTTCATCCGAAACACAGATTTAGCATTACATCTCTTGCTCACCAATGAATCCTCCATTCCCGTTAGAATGAGTCCAAACAGCTGATAAAAACATCACAATAATCCACAAGTAATCCAAATGACTCCAGTCCATCAATTAACGTCTTGTTAAATGAAAATCTGTGTGTCCAAGACATTTTCAAACCATTGCTTCCAGTTAAAATATGAGTTCTCTGTCCATAATATTGTTTTCTCCAGGGAAAAAGTAATCTCATCTGAATCAGGAGAGAAATAAGCACAGATCAAGCACACAGCAGAAGTGACATTTTAAAGTTAAAACACATTGATGTACTGTATATTTTTCTTTCAAACATGCGGCTTTTCACTTCCCAAGATGTTAACTGATGGAGTCGTGTGGGTTACTTGTGGATTGTTGTGTTTTTATCAACTGTTTGGATTCTCAACAAACTCGGCTACTTCTTGGATGGGTGCGTGTGAGTACATTTTCAGCAAATTTTCATTTTTAGGTGAACTCGCCCAAGTCATGAGAGATTTTTGTTCATCAATACAAACTTTTATTGGTAATCTGCACCTTAAGCAGGTCTCAGATCAAATAACACTTTATGGCTCAGGTTTAAAATGACTTGAGGGTGCAAAATGATGATTTTTATATTTGAGCAAACTTCTTTTAATGAATAGAATGATCTGTCTCACACTGCCTTTCTTTTCTCCCTTACTTTTTCTCTCATCACACTCCCCAGCATGTTACACACTGACTCTTGGCTTCAGCTTGATCTTGTGTCTTAGTCTCATTAGCAGATCAAGGGTTCACTTGAAGTTGGCCCTCAGTGGAAGAGATCTTGTTTTCCCTTGTGAGCAGAAGCGCTAATGAAGTGTTTGTTTATGTCTACAGGTATCTGATCGGAGAGGAAGGGTACTGCCTGACGTCAATGCAGAGCGCGCTGACCTATGTTGAGTCATTGACCTTGGGTGGGGCTTCGCCCCTGACTGCCAAACCCACCTGACGTAGGTAAAGCCAATCATATCATCCTCTCTGATACACACTGACTCAACCTAGTGAGCTACCTGCATGTAGGCTACATTGTTAGATTACCATCCCAATCCAAGGTCTTTCGTTCGTTCTTTCTTTCGTTCATTGCTAAAGTAACAGTTAAGTCAAATCTGTTTCAACAGTTAAATCTATTTCAAATGCTGCTCTTTCAACTTAACTTTAATTAACACAAAAATATTAATCAGTGTTTATTGATGGCAAAAAAAATTTTTATTGAGCAGCAAATCAGTATATCGGAAAGATTTCTGAAGGATCACGTGACACTGAAGACTGGAGAATTCAGCTTTGCCATCACAGGAATAAATTGCATTTTAAATTATATTCAAATAGAAAACTAATACTTCAAATTGTAATGTTTTGCAATATTTTTACTGCGTTTGTGATCAAATAAATGAAGACTTGGTTAACATGAGAAACTTCTTTCAAAAACATTTTTAAAAATCTTACCAACTCCAAACTTTTGAATGATTGTGTATATTATTATTATTATTATTGTTGTTGTTGTTGCCTTGATGGGTTTGTGCTCTTCAAATGTCATATTTCAGTTGAGTAAGACTTAGTCATATGGTGGGTCAGGGAAAGATAAACCAAACCACTAACTCTATCTGACAACATTGTTCCGCCTCATCAGAAGTTATCCCATTTTTATCCAAACGTTTAACTTTGCAGAGCGCAATGTCTGTACCGCTGTCACTTATGCTACGGCGTCCCATGTTGAAATGCACTCCTCTTTCGTCATCCATCACTGAACAGCTTAAATGAACCGAATAGAAAAGGAGGGGCTGGGCTGTGCCCCTGGATCACAGCCAGATGTGCTGCTCTTACCTCGATGGATGGATTACATCGACCTTGCTGAACTTTAAACTTCACTTCTTGAAGTGAATTGTTGCTGTTTGTTTTTGCCCACAGGGTGAAGTTTCTATTTGTTACTGAAATAAGGATAGACTACGGTGGTTTAATTTCTAATTAGATTACCCAATGGAGACTGTTAAACATGCCAAAACATCAAACAAACTTCCAGCCTTTGCCAGAACGATGGACAACACTTTCTTTTACTTTTGCTTCTGTAACAGTCTCTGCTCTTAAAGTAGCTGGCTGGCTCGCTCACATAGTTTGTGTTCATCCAGTTTAATTAAAGCTGTTTGTGTTTTGGTTCTAGGGGCCTTAGCCTACGGAAAGATCTCATGGTGATTTGACAGTCCTCAGGAGTTGGTGTACCTCCTCTGCTTGGTCTGTTTAGTCCCAAATCAGGCCAGACATCAGTTCTGTTAAAATCTTCCCCACCTATGGCTTTGAAGGGACTGAAGAAGGTTATTCTCTGCTTTTGGGCACTACAGGGCAGGTTCATCCGAATGTGGTTTTAAAAAAAAAAAAGAGACTGAATGGGATGAAATTAGCAAGATGTTAGGAAAGGACTTGTGGAAAGTTTAGTTAAAACATTTTTATTATTAATTTGTGTATATTCTAATGCCATTGATTTTTTTTTTTTTTTTTTTCAAATGTATTTCCCAGAGAATTTTACTATGGAAATGAAAGACTAAAGCACTACTAGCATTTGTTAACCCTATTTATTAAACAATATAAAAAGTGACACTAATTCAGAGTTTTTGTATTATTTTAGCTTGGAATTTTATCCATTTTGAGCTTAACTGGATAGGAAAAAAATTGAGAAAATTTGTCGAAACAAGTTCTCTTAAAGGTTTTTTTTATATATACTCTAAGCTGCACATTTCTTTTGCAAGTAAATATACCACTAAGCAGAACAGGCATCATGGTATTAAGCAGTATGTGTTTTATCTGTCTCTTTTTAAATATCTTAACTTTATTTAAATGCTTTTCACTCTAATAGTCAAAGAAGTGAAATCAATGTGAAAAAAAAATTTTTTTTGGATGTGCAAGAAAGATTAATGTTGCTGAACCATCTGTCTTCAGTCTGACATTACTGATGTTGAGGGGATTGAATAGAAAATAGGCATAATAACATTGTGTGCGTGCAAATGCATATATGTATATATGTATATGTGTGTGTGTTTTGTCGGAGCAGAATGTTTGTTTTCTGTTTGTTGCTAAAGATATGTAATGTGAATTGATGAATGTAGCCTGAATCTCTTTGCTTGGGAGACAGTGCCCATGTATTTTTTACAAAACTTTCCCAAGTTCTTCATACCTGATCATTAGGATTGGATAATGCACATGGTCATGGTTTGAAAGTGCATGGCATGTGAATTTTCTAACAATAAAGACATATGTAACCCTGTTTAGTGCTCTCAGGGGTGTTTTTATTTTATTTTCCTAATTCTTCCATGGTTTTGACCACCTTTTAATCAATTAGTTAAAATTCGAAGAGCAAGGAAATCACTGGGAGAAGCGATTGCTCAGAGGGTGGCCAAGTCGCCTGATGGGCAGATGGCTGGATTATTCCAAAAGTTTCCGGGCCAAAGGAGAAAACATGCCACTCTGAATCAGGAGGCTTAACCTCTGTCCTAGAATACCCTCTGTGTGGATGATGATTACTCTAATGGCTTCACTGTGTGACTTTGTCTATGGGTGGCCTTTTAAATACCTTCCAGTCCACTTGTCTTGTCCCTCTACAAAAATGTTCCAATCCCTGTCTGTGTTTTGGAGCTGGCACCCAAAATAACCAGTGACAAGCCTTGGGGTTAAACACCAAAACACAGCAAGAGTGGTTGGGGAAAGTTTGCAAACCCTGATCTTTGTGTTTCATTTGATATATAGAAATGGATAATATGATTAGAGTGATGCTTCCAGTCATTCACCAAAGATGGCGAGAGATGTGGTAAAATTTTGTAAAATTGCATATAAAAGCCATTAGGTTGCTCATCATAACTTACTGAGACTCACTTTTTGTGTTTTCTTATTGTGCCAGTATTGGTCTGAGATTTTGCATCCCTGATAGTTCCTGTTTTTAACTGTTCATATAATTAAAATTAATAATTTGCCCAAAAATGAAAAATTCTTACCCTCATGTCATTCAAAATAGCAGTTGTTTCATTGAAGAAAAAAAATAATACCCATTTGGAACAACATGAGGGTGAATAAATAATGACAGAGTTTTCATTTTGTGGTGAGCTATCCCTTCAAGTATGAGTTTTGAGTTTGAAAATATTGATGTCTTTTTGGCTTTCGAAGTGTACCGTCTCATGAAAAGGGATTTCATTGATTGCCAAAGTGGATACTTTGCTTTCCGTTGTTTTCAATTTTTCAATTCGCAAACTATTTTTGAAATAAGAACTCTAAGCCAGATTTGAATTAAATCCAGGCAACTAAAGTCATATCACACCCTCAGCATTGTGGCTCATGTCATGTTGGTTACTACTTCAAAGAAATTAGGAGTCTGGGAGATTTTCTCTTTTTTTTATTATTTAAATTTCCTCAGACACACAATATAAATGCCCCATGAATGGTTTTCCCTCAGACAAGTACTAAACCGAGTAACAGAAACTGTGTTTTGGTGGTATGAACAGAATGGCACACTTTTTGGTCTGTACTTAAGATATAAACAGATAATTCATCCAAAACATTTAAATTCTCAACATCTATTCAATCTAATATCTCATTTCAAACATATATGGTTTTCTTTCTTCAAGAATATTTAAAAAAATATATTTTTTTTTTGTTCCACAGAAGAAAGAGTGTTATACAGGTTTGGAACTGACATGAGGATGAAAAGTTTTAAGTTTTGAGTGAGCTATCGCTTTAATAAGCTGATGCAAAACTACAGTTGACAAACTGACAAAGCCTTTTCACCTCCTTCCCCCTTTAATTAGACACTTCACTAAATCCAGTGGCAAATTTAAATCCCTGTCACTAAAGCGTTAATGTAAATGTCATGATTACAGCAAACACAGACAACAATGTCCTCCACTTTAAAGGCCAGCCATTTCTGAACCCCTTGCCCCCTACACGCTTATTATGGGCCACACAGCTGGGAATATTTGGAGCCGTGGAAGCAACAGCCAGATAAGTTTTGAGTGAACGAGGGCAGGTAGTCACGCTACGGGGATGCAAGTGTGCCAACAATGTGCCATGTTTTTTCTCTTACTCTAACCGTGGAAAAGACCGAGTTTGTTTTCACATCCATCCTCACACGCGTCTCTCTACTTCAATGGCAAACAAGTCTGGGGCTACATTTATGCTCAGCTGCACTCCAAAGCATCTGTACTATTCCATTGGTTATGATATTGATTTGTTTTGAGCACAATGAGTATTTCAAGGCTATGACAAAGCTGGGGATTGTCAGTACAGAAATGTTTTATTGACATGCAATAAAACAATGCACGCATACTAACAGGATAAAGTGAATACAGAGGAAAATCCGATGGGCCTTGCTTACAGATTGCCCTCCAAGATAACAGTTTTTAGATCGGCAGGACAGCTCACGGGGAAGACGGTGTGGGACGTGTTGCGGCGCTCCACCAGCGTAGCCACGGCCTCCCCTAAATCCAAGTGGTTCAGGTACCCGGGGGCCATTCGGTCTGGGGCCGCAACACCTGTATTGATTTTCACCTGTTGGAAGATTATTAAGATGGGCATCATAGAGTAACAAATATGAGGAAATACTTTCATGTCATGGCTGGAATATAACCCCATGAGCTTGTCGTTGTGTTTAGAAGAGTTTGATGAGACACCTGGTTGACTTTGCATGGCACCTCTGGGTACTCCTCACGCAGAACCTGACAGAACGCCAGAGCACTGGCTGCCCCTACAGTCAGGAACCCTGTGCCCGGCATGAGAACTTTCTCTCCAGCACCTCCTGTATAACACAGAACGCATCTGGATAAGCAGGGGGAATAATTTACCTTTTGTTGCCACATCTACCTGATAATGGTTAGTGGATTGAGAAAATGTACTGGCCATGAAATTATATTTCATTTAAATGTTTTTGCCTTCTACATCTGGTTCCTATAGGAATCTGTCTCTCTCTATATGTATGTGTGTGTGTGTTTTCTTCCATTTATTTCCACAGTTCTTAAAAGAACCATTTTTTGAAGCACATTTTAACCAGACAAACCTTTTTCCACTATAAAAAAAATGTTGTCCATTGTAAAGGTTCCATCATGGATCACAAAGGTTCCAAAATGCTCAAAGAAATTTTTTTTTAAGAGTATATACATTGTTGCCGGCTATCTGACCAATGATGCCGTTTTACTGATTTGTGTTTTGAATTTGCTAAATTATAAATTTGGATTTGGATTTGGATTTTTAAAATTTTCAAAGTGAAAGTGAGTGACGTGTAGCCAAGTGTGTCCCATACTCAAAATTTGTGCTCTGCATTAGAGACCTCCGCTCCCGCAGAACTATATCTTATCTGGTCCCGCTCCCGCCCGCAAAAGCCTGCATAAAAGTAATCTATAAAGATTTTTTTCAGTACATCGAAGAAATTTACATGAAATGGTTCTGTAACATCTCCTAAGCTCCACAATATCCCAGCATAAAAACTCCCGATAAAATAATTGTTATTTAGGCCAATCATTTACATTTACATTTAGTCATTTAGCAGACACTTTTATCCAAAGCGACATACAAATGAGGACAATAAAAGCAGTCAAAACTAACAAAAGAGCAACAATAAGTGCAAATGACAAGTTTCAGTTAGCCTAACGCAGTACACGTAGCAAGATGTGTATATATATATATATATATATATATATATAGGCTATATATATAGGCTATTATACACACACACACAAAGAAAAACAAGTAGATAGAATAGAAAAAATAGAAAGCTAATGTGTTTTTTTTTTATAAAAAAAGAAGATAAATATAGATAAGTAGAATTAAAATAGAATAGAAAGTGTTAGAGTTAGAGGGTCAAATAAAGGTGGAACAGATGTGTTTTTAGTCGTTTCTTGAAGATGGTTAAGGACTCAGCTGCTCGGATTGAGTTGGGCAGGTCATTCCACCAGGAGGGAACAGTTAATGAAAAAGTCTGTGAAAGTGATTTTGTGCCTGTTTGAGATAATCATAATCTAATCATCAACATTCACAACAGAAAAGCAAGCATGGGCTGCTGCGTGCATGGTTTGGCATGGCAGAGTTCCTTTATTATCACTAAAATCTCAGTTAATCGCAATCTCATAACGCTTTGTTATAACACAATAAATATATGCACAATGAATCTTTCACAATGTCAACACTTCGTGTGTTAAAATGAGAGGATTTTGTGAGTAGATTCTATTGATTGGCCATTGTGTTCCAGAAATCAACAGCTGAGTCTGTGATTGGCTACATAAACACGCGTTATAAATAGAAACTATGCCTAGCTTGCACATGTCAATCATTTTAATGTTAATATTAGTTGTTCTTTTTGCTTTTGTGCAACAGATAAATAACAATGTATATGTTTTAGACACTTTATGTTTAGATCATTTCTATTTTGCGGGAGTCCCGCGAATCATTTATTCCTCCCGCATCCCGCACACACAGGAGTCTCTTACCGCCCGCACCCGCCCTCGCCCTCGCCCTCGCCCTCGCCGCACCCTGTTGCGTTGGGTCCCGCGGTAGTGCAAGTCTCTACTCTGCATTTAACCCATCCAAGTGCGCACACACCGAGCAGTAAGTGGTGAACACACACCCGTTTTTGCTGCAGCACCCGGGGAGCAGTTGGGGGTTTTGGTGACTTGCTCAAGTCGCGGTATTAAAGGTGGAAGAGAGTGCTGTACACTCACTCGCCCCACAATCCCTGCCGGTACCAAGACTCGAACCCGCAACCTTTGGTCCAACAAATCCGACTCTATAACCATTAGACCATGACTACCCGCAGGAAAAGACATTTGTGTCTTTTAAAATAGATTTACTAGTAAACTCACAATTATTTTTCACATATGACTAAATAATCTTAATTAAATATGTTTTGGAAGACAAATAATGACGTACCCGTGATAAACGTGTAGGTACAGTTCGGATCATCTTTCACCAGGCTAAAGAACGCTTTCCAAGACACAAAGGTGCTGAAAAGCAGAGTCTCAATAACCTGTTGATCAGAGAGGAAAGAGTTTTGAGCAATCAAATGATGGTGGAGATGCAGACCTAAGGATGAAAGTTTGGTTAGAATGCAAAACATGGATGGTGAAATGTTGTGCGTCATATAAGCACGTATAAACAATCACTGAAAGGATCGTGTTTAATATGTATGAATTAATATTGCATATAGAGGGCTTGCAAGGGTAAATGCTCTTCTCTTACCCAGTGCAGTTCTTTGAGGGGTTGGGTGTGTGGTGGACCTCCCTGCCACCAGCTGAAGCCCAGAGAGGACACCACATCTGTGATCTTTCCCACAGACTTAAGCAAGGCCTGTTTCACCTCCTCCGCTCCTTCTTCTGAGCCTGGTAGATTAGGAGAGTATTTCATTAGTCACAAACAATCCAAAATCAATGAGACCTTAAAATGTGTAGAATTGCAAAGATAACACACACCAAAAAAATTAAATAAAAGTTGCAAAAGGAGAAGCTACATACCAACATTCCCCACTAAAGTGGTCAGGTTACTTTTTGTGCTAGCTGAAACAAACCCCTTGAGTTTCTCCAAGTTGCTGCTGTCTCTGGAGATCACAGCAACCTTGAAACCTAAATATGTGTTTGCATAGTTTACCACACATGCTAATGCTTTAAAAAAAAGAAAGCTTTGCTGAAGATCAAACTGAAGGGGATGCCCAGAGCCAAACAGCAGCAAAAGTGATATGCAGCTGTATAAAGCAAGGTTCGTTATATGTATACCAATGTGAGAAGTGCAAAGGTGTGCACAGTCCATTTTGTGACTATTATAAGGAGTGCAAAAATAAAGGACATAATTTAGCTCTGTGCCATTTTAAGACTGAAGACCTTTATTCAGCACAAAACCAGCTCAGAATGACCAAGGAAAAATCAAAAGATTCACTCGAGACACATTTTTGTATGATGAATTCTTCTTCTGGTTCATTTTTGGTGTGCTATGACTGTCAGTTGATCCATGAACACAACTGTGATTTTATTAAAGCATGCCGATTTAATCACCGTATTCAGTCTACGGGGACAGTGCAGCCCCCTCAAGGAGAAAGAGTGAATGTTCAAAAGAGAAACACATGTCTTTCTTCTGCACATCATATGCAGTACCCCCAGGAGACGGTTGGATCCGAAACACCTAATGCACCAATACCATATCACCGTGATTGCTTGAAAGCTAACCAAACTTTTAAAAGAAAGGAAAACGTTTAATCAATTCAGAATTAAATTACGGAATCAGAATTGAGATCTGAATTTAAAACATCTAATAGGGGTGGATATATAATTGTTTTCCTATTCATAAATGCACAGATAATAATAATAATAATAATAGTTACTGCTGCTATAAATAAAATAAATAATATAATTTATATAATAATATAAATATATATATAAATAATATTTAATATATATATATATATTTTTTAAATAAAATTAATGCTTACTGTTATATATTAAATGTAAATACTTAATATGCTCTTACCCCTGTCCAGGAGAGCTTTCACTATCCCGGAGCCGACAGTTCCTGCTCCACCGAGCGCTAAAACCACCCTGTCCCCGTTTGACATCGCGAACACAACCGCTGCAGCAGTGCAGACGCCCGAGATTGATTATGCTTTAGTTTATGGGCTTCATGTCTCCTGCTGCTCAAGATCTTTAAATGGAACCGCAGCCAGATACCACGCCCCTTTCAGAATGACACGCCCACCTAATTATGCATTCTTTTATCCTTTACCACAATTCAATTACAGTTTCAAAGAAACTATTTTTCAGGAAAATTATAAATGTTGCGGCTGAAAAACAAATCTGATATTGTAGTGAATAACAGTAATATCATCATGTCAGTAGGAAAGGTTGTAATAATTAAGTTTGATACCAAGGCCAGGTCCTGATATTACCAACAGTTTCTATCATATATTATAGCGCCCTCTTGTGAACTAGCACTGGTAGATACACTCAATTGAATAATCATCGCAAACTGCACATTTAGAGTTGTATAAACTGCGAATAAATTATTGTAGCTATTTTATTCACAAAATGAGAGATGCCTCGGTGTTTCAGACTTGGAATAAGGAACAGGGATCTCAAGATTGATAGGGAATACTTTTCATATATGACAAATGCAAATTTACACCGGGTTTTCTTATTACTTTTTATTCTATTTATTTTTATACTATATTTACTCATTTAATTTTCTTTACTTATTTAGTTTGTAAGGTTTGACGACACTGCAACCCTAAAAATCTTCACGTGAGCCGAATACGGAAGTGATGTCAAGAAAGTTTCTGCACTGGGAAACAGCGACGCTCTTCAAAGCAGGTTTTAGTTGGACGTTGATCGTCGATCAAGTAATGAATTTAGTTTAGTTGATTCGATACAGTCTAGTGTGAACGGCGTTAGTCGTGTGTCAAGAGCTTTGTTGATTTGAATTTAACGAGTCAGTGGCTGTGGTTTTGGTTTGGAAAGGCATGATGCGTAATCTTTAAGCATTTAGCGTAGTTTATGCCATTTATTGTTCAACAATGTGCTATACATTTAATATACTTTTAAAAATCTGAATTTAATGAATTGTGTAAGACGGTGGTTTCAGGTAATCTGATGGAACTGTGTTTTCGAGCTTCACTTTCACTTTAGTCTGTTGATCTAGAAGTAGTATTGTAGATGGTTTTTAATAGTTTACATTTTTACATATATTCAATCACTGTTAAGATTGAACTGAAATGTCATCTTTAAATTACATTTTGTATAGTTTTTTGTTGTCTTCACCCGACTATACATGGTGGTTATGCAAAATATAAACTTGCTATATTGTTTCTGTATATCTGTTGTGATTATTGACATGTTTAATGATTATAATTTGGTTGACAATAAATAAACGTCCAATATTCTTTCTTCTAGGATGAATTCTGCGTATTACAAGACAGAAGATGGCCACATTAATAGGTACCAGACTAACTTGGAGAGACAAATTGAAAAGGGGGATCAATGTTTGGTGTGCAGGAATGAGGAACTTTGTAAGGACGTCAAGATGCTCCTTCACAATGGCAATGCCCAGAAGATACATCATCTGCATGGATTAGATTCACTGGCAGTGATGGAAAAATCTCTCTACGCATTTCCCTCTGAAACTGGCCAAATGGGGCTTGAAAAACTTACCAAGGCCTTTGAAGTGTTGGAGCTCGCTGCTTTAAACCTCTACGTCTACCCCTGGAGAAGAGAGTACAGACTGGTGAAGGTATGTGGAAATACTGGTGCTCCACCTATAGAGCTAGATTTTTAACAGTCTCTTTGACATTTGTTTGTTTGTTTTCACCACCTTTAAATAGTCTCTTCCTTCTCGCCAGATGTTTTCAGGTATGTTCACTCATTCGATCAAACCTGCACTAACACTTCAGCAGGCTAAAGAGCTGTTTGGTTTGCTTGGATACCAGGCCTCAAGTCCTAAAGAAGAAGAGGAGTTGGCGCTGAACTCCAAACTCGTTCCTACTGATTTCTTACTCAGCCTTGCATGTGGCTTCTTCACTGCCCGGATGGAGTGCCAGCTGCTACTTTCGGCCTTGGGCTCGGTGGACAGAGGTGTGGAGTGGGTTCTACAGCTAGTTAAGGAGAGGCAGGCGGGCCACAGTTTTCAGGTAGCACTAGAGTACACCAAGAGAAAGGCAGATGCTGCTAGTGTTTCAGATGCCATCCTGACAGGTGGCATGGACACTGAGCTGGATCTGTACACAGAGCAGACAGATGCTTCTCGCGTGACATCCACGTCTTGTTCACCACCTCACTCTTCTTATATGCAACCAAAAGAGGCTGATCTAAGCAAGCCTTTACAGAAAGAGACCTCACGGTCAAACATGGGGAATAATGAGGATGCAAGGCAGGGAGGACCACTCAAAAGTCCAGGTCCGAAGGAAAGCTTTGCTGAAGATCAAACTGAAGGTGATGCCCAGAGCCAAGCGGCAGCAAAAGTCATGCGTGTTTCTGATACATTGCAATAAAAAGCATGTACATATTTATATGCAATGTGCCTCAGTAATGTTAACAGTAAATTCTTTATGTATAGCTAGCAAACGATCTTTATTCTAGCACATGTTGTCCACGTTGCCAAAATGCATACAGCAAGCAAAAGCTTACTGTACTGTTACAGTAGGAAGTTTACATGCTGTGAAATGACTCTATGTGAAGGTAAGGGTTAACTGGCCTATTTATATTTGCATGGTATTTTGAGTGACTTGAGTAGGTGAAAGGCAAAGAAACTGTATATTACCGATGTGTTGACACTGGAGGATAAACCTTAGATGGCCAGATATGAAAGCTACATTTGTACTGCTTTCTTTACAGTCTCCAAAACTGGTGGCTTTTTCTTTGGAAGATCTGGAAACTTCTGTGTTGCACTACTCTAAGCCACATGTCTTTTAAAAGAGAAAATAAGACAAACAAAACACATAGTGCATGTTGTTAGACATGCTTTATATTGTTTTATTGGTGGGTGAATCTCTTAAAAGACAAACCTCTGTCATATTGCATGCCAATATGAAAACAACAATTGAAAAGCAGAAAAAGAATCTAACTTTTAAATTATATTTTGCAAAAATAAAAGTAAGCCTATTTTTATTAGCATTAAGATGATTTGAACTGACATTATTTTCATGACATTCAAGCACATTAACCTTGAAATGTTAATTGTCGTAATGCCAAAACAATCTCATTATTATTACTGTAATAGGAAACATCATATGTTTATACAAGTAAATGTGTCTGAGTCTACAGACTATTTTTCACATTGCCATAAATACATCGGTTTGCACTTGCTCTCTCTCCATAAATATGCATTACAGGATACCTTCTCTCTACATCTCATTAGAAACTTTCAGGACTGTCATTCACTCTCTCTCTATAATGGCCAATTCACATTACCAGAATAATACAGATCGTTTAGCAGTGATTGTCACTGGCTGTCTGTGGCATTTTGGGAATCTCAGCGGTAATGAAATGACAAATTGTCACTGTTTCCACAACAGGTGGTGAAAGATTGCAGAAGTCAAATTGAGCACTGGTGAGTGTCCTTGTGCAATTTAACAGCTCTCTGACATGCATAACGTTATTATCATTCATTGTTGCATGTTAGTTTGTCATTGGTTGGTTATTGGTTGTTGAATGTTTAAATTTGGAATGGAAATGCTATTTATACTGTGAATCGCTAGATAGATGTTGATGGTTATGACAAGATTTGACAGGCTTTTGTTATATTCCTTTTCAGTATTTTAAAAAGATTTTCAGTAGGTAGGACGAAAATAGAGCTTGTGTGTCAACAAACAAACAATTTCCTTTTAGAAGATTCATTTTTCTCTGTGACTGACAGGAATAAAGTGGAAAAAGACTATGAATTTCTTCAAGACCGCCTCAGGACTTTGCCTGACAAGTTGTCTTATGATATTATGGTATGGTGTCACTTTTCAAATTACTAATGCACCCAAATTAATCTTCACATCTAGATACACAAACATTTTCTCTGCCTGAGCAACAAAATATTAAGTTATCAACAGAGTATTATTCACACAGTTTTAGCCTATTTTAAAGGGGTTATCCGATGCTACATGCACTTTTACAAGTTGTTTGAACTGAAATGCAACCACCCTATAATGATAAAAATCTACCCAGTTCTTTTTTTTTTAATCTACTAAAATCTTTACCCCTTTCTCAAGTCGAGCCGATCTCAGATGCCTGTCTGTGTGATGTCACACAGACAGGCCCCTCCCACGATAGTTTGATTGACAGTAGCGTGGCGTCTAAAGTAAGTGGCGTCTTACTTTAGACCCGCCCTGAGTGACTGTCATCAGTCCGCCATTGTTTCACCGCTGGAGCAGATGTAGACAAGAATGACTCCTAAGTGATTGAGGTGTTCTGTTGTTGGATGTAATAATGAACATAACAGTAGTCATTTACTCCCGACATCTGAGCCGCTGAAGACGCAGTGGATTACGTTTGTTTCTGAAGAGAATGCGCCCCCACGATCTACATAAATGTGTTTATGTTCGTGCGAATCATTCGTGATCTAGCTTCACCTACAGAAGAAGTGAGTATACGTTTTTTTTTAAATAATGTGCTAATTAGCAAGTTTCACGATGAATGCGTCTAAAGTAAACAGTCCCTCAGAGAGCGGCTTGAAAGAGAGGGGCGGGGTCAGCACAGCTCATTAACATTTAAAGGACAATGCTACAAAACAAAAAACTTTTTGACAGGGTAAAAAAAAATGTGTTTTTTACACTACCATTGAAAAATTTTAACCAAACTATGTTACAGACTTTTCATTAAGACCCTAAAGAATCAACTTGCGTCTGATGACCCCTTTAAGACCTGTTTACGTCAAGGACAATAGCTATAACCGTAAAGTTTTAATAATCTTTGTTATTCTATGAGACTAGGAAAGTTCACACCACAACTATAACGATAGTGACATAGAGGAACAATATCGTTGGAATCACTTTGAACATTTTCTAGCTGATGAATGATAAAAACATTAACAGCCAATCAGAGCTTGAGCATTTAAAGTGACAGGCAACTTAATTGCAGTGCATGTTTATAATAACAGAACCTAATGTGTGTTGCTGTGGTAGATGTGTAGTTGTCATGATAGTTATCATGCTCGGAGTGAACAGGCCTTTACTTGTCAGATTTGAAAGTGAAAGTGTCACTATTACTTTAAGGCTTGATTTTGCTCATCATTTGGATGTTTTTTCAACATGATAGGTACCATTTGGTCCCTTGGCTTTCATGCCTGGAAAGCTAGTTCACACTAATGAGTTAACGGTGCTCCTCGGGGATAACTGGTTTGCAAAGTGTTCTGCCAAACAAGCCGACACTCTTGTGGAACACAGAAAGAAACGTGAGTTCATTTCTATTCTATTAATATTTTCCATTGACCAGTTTGGAAAAATCCATACAGCTTGACCTGATATATGTTATTTTTCCAGATGTCAAAAATGCGCTAGATGACTTACAGAAAGTGATGAAGAACTTTCAGAATAAAGCCGACTTTACAGATGATCTGGAAAAACTGGCTGGTGTAAGTGTCCGAACCATGACCTCATTGCCATGTGACATTATATGGAAACCTTATACTGATGTTTTCTTCTCTGGAAGAAACAATCATGTCTGCTCTTTTTATTAACAGGATACTGAAGATTTTGTAGACATTAGAGAAGAGGTAATAAATGAGGAAGAATTTACCAAAGGTAATTCTAGTTTTTCAGGTTAGCTTTTGTGTTATCAGGTTGTTTTATCTTCTGTTGATAATTTACTCCCTATTGTGCTTCCACAGGAAAACGTTTGGCCCACAAACCCAATTCTAAACCGAAGCAGGAGTATTTGTCGGAGCTGGAAGAGGACACAGAGAAGAAAGAAGGTGATGAAGAGAGAACGACAGGGCTGCTGTCAGAGGAGGAGCTGTGGGCCCGACTTGATGAACTAGAGCGTGAGGAGGAACTTCAAGATGAGAGATACCGGTAAAATATTGAATTTCCACAAAAAATATCAAGCAGCACAAATGTTTTCAACATTGATAGTCATAAGAAATGTGTCTTGAGCACCAAAACAACCTATTAGTGATTTCTGAAGGATCACGTGACACTGAAGACTGGAGTAATGGTTACTGAAAATTAAACTTTAATATCACAGGAATAACTGACATTTTAAAATGGTAACACTTTAGTATATAGACCAGTTAACTGATGTTAACTAGTTGCTTAATAGCATGCGTATTATTAACATATTGGCTGTTTATTAGTGCTTATAAAGCACATATTCTGCATGACCATATTCTACATCCCCAATACCTAAACTTAACTACCATACTAACTATTACTAAGCAGCCAATTAGGAGTTTGTTTAGGGAAAAGTCGTTGTTAATTGCGAGAATTAGACTTTAAAAATAAAGTGTGACCTAAAATATATTAAAAAAGAAAACCGTTATTTTCAATGGTAATCATATTTCACACTTTTATTGGTTTTACTGTATTTTTTAAATCAAGTAAATGCATCCAAGGTGAGCAAGAGAGGCTTCTTTCAGAAACAATAAGTTTTACCAACCTTAAAACTTTTGAACAGCAATGTATAAGTGCGCAAATGATACTAGCTAATAATTGTTTCCTATGTGACACAAGGTGATGTTTCTCCAGTGTTTAAAATAAAGTATTGGCGCATAGCATTAAAATGGAAATCAACCCCAGATATCCCAATTATATTTTTAAAAGAAAAATCCCAGTAATCTTATCCGGTAATCACAAACTTTACAGAAAGGTCATGGGAAATTGATTGATCTAAAAGTGTTGAAACCCCGTTTATCATACCACATATGCATACATCTTTAGGTAAACTGAAAGTGCAATATACATAAAGAAAAAGTAGCTGTTGCACAAACTTTTTAATAGTGTGCTTATAGATTTGTTCTATTTTTTCCCCCGTTCTACTAGATTGGACAGCACAGACACTAATGGAGAAGACACCACTTCCTCCTCAGAGGAAGAGAAGGAAGCAGAAGGTGGCAGCAGTGTCCAAGTTAATGGCCATCAGAAGGAAAATGGCTGGGTACCATCATCTATCACAAGTCAGATGAACGGCACTAATGGCTCACACCCTGAGGATGAGGAGGAGGAAGATTGTGATGAGGAATCAGGCAATGGTCTTCCAACTATCTATTTTTCTCATACTGCGGAATTCAAAAAGGTTAGTCGAGTGCTACATAAACCCCTTTTAGATAGTCCTACATAAGACGAAGATCAAATAAATGCTGCTCTTTTGACATTTTTTATTCATCAAAGAATTTTGCGTGCTCAAGTTCATTATTTCAAATGTAGACATGCGGCAAGCACACACAAATAGAGAGCGATGCGGTCGCGACACGCTGGTTTTTTTCCAGGCGCGTCTGCGTCGCAGCGATTATAAAACATGCTTAGCAACGGCAGGTCCCAAGCACTTTGGAAATGAAGGAGAAAGCTAGGTGTGACATGTGAACGACCCCTTTGTTTCCACAAAAAATATTAAACAGCAGCACTGTTTTCAACATTGATAATAAGAAATGTTTCTTGAGCAGCAAATCAGCATATTAGAATGATTTCTGAAGGATCATGTGACACTGAAGACTGGAGTAATGATGCTGAAAATTCAGTGTTGTTATTACAGGAATAAATTACATTTTAAAATATTTGAAAGCAGAACAGAATTATTTTAAATTGTAATGATATTTCACATTTTACTGTTTGTACTGTATTGTTGATGAAATAAAAAAAATAAATCAGCCTTGGTAAACCTAAGAAGCTTCTTTCAAAATCATAAAAAAATAATAATAATCTTACCGACCCCAAACTTTTGAACAGTAGTGTATATTAACCTTTTTTTTTTTTTGCATTGAATTACTTTCTCCTGTGTGTCTTGAAAATAAAACGATTTGCATAATTCTTTCTTTCCATTGTCCTTTTTCCCTGTGAAGGTCAGGATAAATACAGGAAAGAACACCACTCTAAAATTCAGCGAAAGAAATGAACAAAAGGCACAAGCCAAGCGGAAAAAAAAAAGTGGCAAAAGTAACGGCCTTTCTCCTCATGAAAGTTACAAGATCACAAGCCCAGCAGACATTTATAGGTAACAGCCTAATGGGAAACATAATCTATTTTTATTGCTGTATTAAAACAAATCATGTTTGTTTTTTATCGGTTCAGTTTCAACGCAGTGTTTGTTTGTAGGGTGTTTGTGGATTTGGTGAATGGAGAGCCGATACCACGCAAGTCCATTTTGAAGTCCCGCAGCCGTGAGAACAGCGTGTGCAGCGACACCAGCGAAAGCAGCACAGCTGACTTTGAAGAGCGCCGTGCGGCTTTTGGACGCTCGTGGAGCCATGATGACGCCACACACAGTGATACCAGCGATGGCATTACAGAGGAGGAAAGCCCCACTGGAACGAGCCCCCGCACTAACGGACGCTTTGAGGTACAGAAGACTTGTTGCTGTTGGTTAAAGTCTGCATGAAATGGAAATTCACCCAATCTATATTCTAATTGCATGTTATTGATCTTATTGTGAATGATCTATTCACTGTAGTGCAACGTGATTTTAAAAACCACTCAAAATACTGCAGCAACACCATAGAAATGCCCTAGCAACTACACAGAATAGACTGGAAGCCCCAGCATCATGTCAGCAAGTTTCACATGGAAAAGCAGCAGTCAAAAACTGTAAACTTTTATTGTTTATATATCTTGTGACAAAGTATTTTTATTTCTTTACCAGTCCAGAAATGATATTAAATGCATTGTTTTTTTAATATGTCTTGCTCAGAAACAATATTCTCATTAAATGTCTTTTTGTGTTTTAGGCTTTTACAGGCACAGTGATTGAAAAGGATCCCCTGCCTTGCTCCATCCCACACCTGACCATCGCCCCTCCTGCCTTACCCACAATCCCCGAGAGAAAGCTGGAGGAGGTGGGCCCCGAAGCTCTTCAGGAGCCACCCAAGAGGATGTCCAAGTTTAAAGCTACACGGTTGCATCAGACATGAGTTCATCTCATCAACACAACTTTTAAATTCGGTTTTGTACAACAGTAACTCCTATAGTCTGACTTTCTCACTAGCTGTCCTCTTCCTCTGTCCTCCACACTACTTCTATACTGTCATCTATCTGGTTTTTGTTACATGCACCCTGGATATTTTATTTGCTCTGTAAGAGTAATTAATAGAGATGATAAATGATTTCTCTACAATTAGCTTTTTTATATGCCAGATGGTTTGTTTAAAAGGATAGTTCACCAGAAAATTAAAACTGTCATCATTTACTCACCTCTTGTCTTTGCTGTATGATGTTTTTTCTTCTGTGGAACAGGAAGTTATTTTGAAGGAAGTTGGAAATCGTTGTTTCACAGAAGAAAGTCATACAGGTTTGGATCTTCATGAGATTGATTAAATGATGACAGAATTTTCTTTTTGTGTGTATGATCAAACCCTTTAATTTAGGAAAATGCTGCACATTTTGGTATCTTTTGTGTGTTTTAGTATAGATAAATAATAGTTAAAAATAGAATGGGAAAAAAATTAAATCCTAAAATGTTTTCAAGACAAACAATATAGTAGTGCTAGTGACATCATGACTACTGTCATTGTTGTGATGTGGTCTATGATGTGGATTTTTTTGGGAAAATGCTTTATCAAAGTTAATTCTCATTTTGTTAATTCATGACGTTTATGTGCAACTTTGACCTATGTTGGTCATGAAATAGCTGCCAATTTCTGTCAGCATAAAAAAAAATATATATATATAATTTCTGAACTTAGTCTCAGATTCTCTCATCTCTTTTTTTATCTTGTTTACAGAGTTTTGGCTTTGTACATCAGCTTTTTTTGTGACTGCCGGAAAAATGTTGTGGTAACTGAAAAGGAGAAACAATAAATGATTTTGACTGTATAAGTGTTTTAATTGGTCATTAGGACATTATTCATTTGGTTTCGGTTCTACACAGGACGTTCATTTGTGCATTTATTTTTGTGCATGAAACAAGTGGCGGTTTTACTGATGAAGCAACTCCTTTGTCATTGTGGTGGTGTTCAGTCAGAACCTTTAGAGGGCACTAAAGCCTTTAACTTTTTTATCTTTAAAAATCAAAGCCAAAACAAGTTGATGCCTATGGAGAGGGGGAAAAAACTATAGACATTTAGCAGCTGAATCTTGGGCTTCAAATATTACCAACAAAAAAATGTTTAGGCTTGTAAGATTTGGTGTTTTTATATAAGCATTCTTTTTAAATGTTATAAAATATTTAGAATTAAATAATTCAATAAATTATTTTGAATGTAAACTTTGGGCCAACATATATATGGCAGCATGTCTTTGAGTTATTAATGTAATCGAAGGCAATTATATATTTGTGTTGAATGATGCAGTATCTCACAATAAATCAATCACGGGCACATCTCTACAGTCGTTTACAAGGTTCACAATGTGGCATTCAAGAAACGTAGTTCAGCCTTCTTGGAAACAAATGTGTCAGAATAATCCAAAAACAAGATGACTCAAGAGTGCTTCATTATTACTTCTGGCATTTAAAGGCAAGGATGGAGTATTTCTGAGGAGGACTGGCTCCATCAATGCCTTTGTTTGCACCGGTATCAGTCATTTGTGTTTGACTGCAGACTTATCCATCAGCACATTGACATTTGGATGTGGACAGGTTCTGAGTCAGCAGCTGGGCTGAACACAGCTTAGTCCATTCAATTAATTTCTGTCTGGAAAGACTGAATGATCACCTCAAATAAAAAAAATTTCAACCATGATCTTCATGCTTAAAATGGCTTAGAGTTGATTTTTGATGTCATTTAGCAGGGCTGTTGCGAAAAACTCTGAAAGTCATGAGAGATATTTCACATAGAATCTTATACAGCAGGCTTTAAAGAAATAGTACACTCAGAAGATACAAATTATCTTACCATAAACCTTAATCAGGTTAGACGCCATATTGAATTTTAAAGTAGTAGTTCACTTCCAGAATGAAAATTCTGTCATCATTTACTCACCCTCCACTTGTTCCAAACCTGTTTGAGTTCCTTTGTTCTGTTGAACACTAAAGAAGATATATTGAAAGATGTTAGTATCCGAACAGTTGATGGGCACCATTGACATCAATAGTAGGGGAAAAGATACTATGGAAGTCAATGGTGCCCATCAACTGTTCGGATACCAACATTTTTTCAAAATATCATCTTTTGTGTTCAACAGAAGAAAGAAACTCATTCAGCTTTGGAACAAGTGGAAGGTAAATCATGACAGAATTTTCATTCTGGAAGTGAACTTCTTTTATCCTGCATGATAGTCCTAGTCTTTATAATGGCACACACTGTATAAAGGTCCTAAATCAGGTAATTTTCATAACTTTGAAAGTTTTTTTTTTTTCTTCTAAGAAGGCTTTTCGTCAGCTGCACACTCGGTGCAGTATGTTGTCAAACAATAGTAGCTACAATCCATTGAACAGACTGTACTTCCATCTTGCACAGCCTCATTCCTGTCAAAAATTAAATATTATGCTACCCTGACTAAGATCTGCTCACCATCGTGACATTCCAAACCTGTTTGGGTTTTTTTTCTTCTACTGAACACATACACTCTTAAAAATAAAGGTGCTTCACGATGCCATAGAAGAACCCTTTTGTCTAAATGGTTCCATAAAGAACCTTTAACATCTGAAGAACCTTTCTGTTTCACAAAAGGTTCTTTGTGGTGAAAGAAGGTTCTTCAGATTATAAAAAGGTAAGAAAGAGATGGTTCTTTAAAGAACCTTTGACTGAATGGTTCTTTGTGGAACCAAAAATGGTTCTTCTATGGCATCGCTTGAAGAACCTTTTGAAGCACCTTTATTTTTAAGAGTGTATTGCTTGTCATTGGTCATTTTTAACAACCTTTATTCACTGTTGTTCACATCCATTTTACTGAAAAGACAAACATGAACATTCAACTAAATGTCTCATTTTGTGTTCCACAGAAGAAATACAGTCAAACACGTTTGGATCAACATTAGGGTGAGTAAATAATGACAAAATGTTCATTTTTGGAAGAACTATCACTTTAATTCTCACTCATGAGTCAGTGTTTTCAGATTATTTTCTGTGCCAGTAAATAATAAATCTAGAGGCACTGTGGTGCCTTCTATTTTATGCCACTGTCTCAGCGGGCATCTGTGTTACTGAAACTGTCACTGATAAGGATCGCACTAATAATCACTGCTGGGCCCATGAGCTCTATAATGTCCAGCTGGTCTCTCATGCTGATCCACCGTTTTAGGGGTCAGAGTCTCTCCGAAGTGGCTGAGTTCAGTCTGGATGTGTCATCATTAGACTCAACATATCAACTATACCAAACCATAGTGCCTCAGAGTGGCCATTTCACCCCATAATTGAAACATCTGATACTCATCACCAAGCAACAGTTATTAAAGGCAATTTCACACCAATTAGTTGTGTAGTTAACACATCTAATGGAGCCAGATGGGGAATATCAACTCAAGCTCGAATGACAAACCTGCCCTGGATTTTGCTCGGGTGCAATTAGTAGTATGAAGGAAGCTGAAAAGAGTGAGCTGTTTCTTATTTCATGCTTGCGATGGACCCATGTTCCTTATATTACTGTGCATGTTTCGCATCTTAGTCTAAATATATAGCCTATTTCAATCCTCAATAAAATTGTTAAGCAATTACATTCATTCTGGAGAATTGCAATGAAAGTGTTCTACTATGCATGTGTTTGACTGGTAAAACAATAGATCACCACGGGCAGCTGTGTTACCTCCCTTGTTTCCATGGGAATGCTGCTGATTGACAGTTGCCCTGACAACTCCATTCAGCCACCACCTGCTAGCTGTCAATCAGACCTGCCATCCTGGGGCTATTGACAGAGCTGTCAGCCTGTGTGAGAAGTGCCTGTCAAAGCTTCCAGCACTTGTGGTGGCAGGGAAACATCTTTTTCCTCCATTCAAATTGTCTTCTCTTGTCGCCTTCTTAAAAGTCAAATTTGGTCAGAGCCATATCCTCTTAGATTTACATTTGCATTCACATTTATATGCCTGGCACACAGGTTTTTGTTAGCAAAGTGAGAATAGAGAACATTAAGACTCCATTATTTGTTATTGCTACCTGTATTTGCTTGTCAGTGTTGTATGAATGCTCATTTTCAGTACTGTTAGAATGGAGCTGCATGGGTAAATAGTTGACTAAAAGACAAAGTATTCTTGTTACAACAGTTATTCTATGTAGATGATTCTACATTTATGGTCATAAACTAGGACTGTAGAAATGTACCTTTACTGCTGTTCTCACTTAAGTAGAAACAATCGAAGTCAGCAACTCTTCTCGCTTGGTAATGAATTTGAACCACTACACCAAAAAAAAAAAAAGGCCGAAATATTCGTTCACGAAACAGAGAGCCATACGCACAATATTAAAATATGTATATAATTGCTTACTATATAGTGCATAATAAAATGAATTGGATGTATTTTTTTACTTAAATGTATTATTAGAGTTGGTTTTATTGAGTTATTAAACAATAATGACTGATTATTGAGCTTTATTTCCTTACCAGCTTTGTTCACACCTGACAGATGACAAGCCCCAGCTCGGAGGCTGACACTGCAATCAAAGTTCTGTCACACCCGTCAATATCCTACTGTCATAGCAACACTTCTTGTGAATGATGATGTGAGAGAGGGTGGTGCTGGTGGGTTGGGGTCTAGCTTTACATTAACAGTCAGTCACACCCACACCTCCAGATGAAACGTGGTGTATGTTCTCCAGGTTTCATAACTTCAGAGCTCTCTGTTAACAGTGCACTTGTTATAGGACTTTTCTTCATTTAGAGTTATCTAGGGAAACGTGCATTCAATAGTGATAGAGTTTTTATGTATTCACTTTGTTCTGATAATGCAGAGGATATTAATGTTCTTTTTGTAATTCACTTCCAAAAACCTTCAACTTTAAGTGGTTATTTGTATCTGTACAGCATACTACTTAACCCTCATATTTTGTTAGGGGTTTTTAATATCTCAAAGATATAGAAAAAAATATAAAAGATATAGAAAAAAAATATATAATCATGTTGTAATCACGTTTTTTTTGTTTGTTTGTTTGTTTTTTTGCAGCTGATGAACTATAAAAACATTGACAGCCAACCATAATGATCCTACTTTGAAGAGCTCGAGCATTCAAAGCGGTGAATGACAAAACGAATAAACAGAATGTTATCGTGTGTTGGTGTGGATGCTAATATAGTTATAATTTTTCTTTTACTCAGTTTCAATCTGAAAATATGCTTACAGCTTGGCATAATTAGAAAAAGTATATTCATTATAGAAATTCCCTTGGAGATTTTAGCAATTTACATGATTTTTCCAGGTCTGGAAATCACACTTTTAAAATGAGACTTCCTCATATATCCATGTTTTTCAAGACAATAGCATCTGTTTCATAAAGGGAAAAAAAGTTGTTAAGGGGTTGAATTAAAATAAATAATAATAAATAAATAAATAATGTTAGTTGTAATTTATTTTAATGCTTGTTTTGTCTTATTTTAAATCATTTTAAGTCATCTTGAGGCCCCCTAACAGGCCCTGGTCCCTTGTTTGAGAACTGCTGCTTGACTTTTTTTTCATTAAGTGTGATTATGCTCCCAGTTAAATTTAGCCCAAACAGAAACAATGTTACTTTAATCAATCACATTTCTAAAAATTGCATGTCTGCTTTGTTAAAAAGAGACATAAGGCTTCAATAACTTTACTGTTTTCTAAGGAACATTAATTTCAAATTGCTTTTATTGTTCTTACACTTATACTCCAAACATGACAACAATAAGCTTAATCTCAACAGAACATGAGGATTAAATCAAATAGCCTATTAAAGAATGCTCAGAAAATTGACATATGCAATTTAATGACTGTCTTGCATTTTGTTATATATCACATTTGAAATCCCATGATTAGGTCAGTTCAGGGGAGGAAGGTTCTATTAAATCTGTCTGGATGAGGCATTCACAGTTTTAAAGACTTTACAATATCCTGGCCATATTTCAAAGCCTATCATCGCCTTCAGATTAAAGCTGACGCTGATGTCTGCCAACTCACATTAATCAGAAGAGTGTCACAATGGGTTTTGCAACAGTCAGTGCT